TTTAATCCCTGAAGAATAATTTTTTTGCTTTATTCCTTGTTCATTGAGGCTGGTTGAGCTCCACGAAGGCCGTCACTTCCTGATCTCAGGAGGGTTTTTTTTTTTTTTTATGTAATGACATAGTATTTATTCACTGACCATCATGAAAATAAATGTTTATTCTACTGCTCTTTCATTAATCCCTCTCTTCCCAATAAAAGTCTACTGTATTTTAGGTAATATATTTTACAATAAACATCACCACATCATAACATTAACCCATTTTATTGATTGAATGATGGTGGAAATAATCAGAAAGGGGCACAAAAAATTAACATTAAAGCACTATTTGTTCGATATAGGCCGCTCACCTGGGCAAGTCCACCGTTTGCCACACTAACGGATCCAGGATGTAATTTTGGGAGGGCTTCAGCCCGAAAGATTTATTTTTGGTGTATATATTAGGATAATTACGTCGGAAGGAAGAAAGAAGCTAACTACCTATATTGAATGGTGTTTAAGTGATTCTTTAAATCCTATTAAATGTAATTAGACAAACAATAATACTTTTAATTATAATTTTTTTATAAAACGTGGTTATGTTTCACCATTTTTGGGGGGAGAGGCTTCAGCCCGAACATCAGCGATACAGCGGTCGTATTAAACCTCCTCAAATTTTCTTTTATCATTCATCTTAGTAAATGTAATAACTCTTTTCTCATGGAAAATTCTGTCTAATTTACAGTGATGTATATTCAGAACTTAATTATCTTGAATAGTTTTGAGTAATTCCTTCTTATACAATTGAAAACGTGACCACATAAAATTGGCCTTAATACCTTTTGCGTTCTGAATCGACTCGTGGACTAAATGAATTTGTTTCTTGGAAATTTTTCTAGAATGACCTCCGCCCCTCTCCCTCCAGAATTTGGCTATTAAGAACTGAGACACCCTGTATAAAGTCGTTCTAAACCTTTTTAATAATTTCATGAATTCTTGCACTCACTGGAATACTGAGGTTATGTATTTAGGAAATGAGGTATAGAACAATAATTCAATTCCAAAATAAAATAAATAGTGCATTCATCCAAAAACATGCGAAATAAAAATTAGTTTAGTTTGCTTGATAAAAAGCATTTAATATTTGGGCTGATGCTTAAAAAATGTCGTACCAGCAATCTATTATATTGTTGGTATTATTCAGTATAATCTGTAATCTTGATTAAAAAATTGGTACGTTTTTCCTATGAAAAATTAACTGTAATTGTATATGTAAATATCCACTTAAACACTAAAAATGTACATACCGCATAACGTATGATTCGACATCGTCAAATATATATATATATATATATATATATATATATATATATATATATATATATATATATATATATATATATATATATAAAGGATAAAACTTAATAGATTATATAACCAATATTTATAGAAAAAATAATGGTGTTGATTTATATAAAATTAAAACGTTCGTTTAACAAGACACTCTTTGCAAATGAAAAATTGACCTATCTTTGAAAATATCCAAATAATAATTTCCACCTCTCATTGATTAAATCAATATTTCAACTCAAAATACACCTCGTGGTTTTTGGGATATTGAGGGGGATATGAACAAATCGGAAACTACCTGATTGCAATCGGTCTTGTAACCACAAACTGCGTGAGCGGATCTTTGTGTTTATCTGTTGAGCTATTTTTTTCATTTCCGATCATATTTCTATCACACTCTGCGATTCCGTTATTGGGCACTTATACTAGATCCCAACGATCCACCCGTTACGTTGCTGAAATGACCATTTTTGGGATTAGATTATAATTTTGAAATCATTATTTCTTTCGTAGTCCTGTCGTTTTAAGAGCACATAGATGCGTTTCGAGGTGGATTGTTTACAGCTGGGTTGTCCATGAAACGTTTACTAAGAACGCTGATCATTTAACTATTATTCAACAATTAATTTGGAAGAGGTGAAAGACTGTTTCAGTAGCTGGAATAAAATTTACCAACAATTTCATTTGTTCTTGGAAATACATCGGACTTCTTTTTGGAGATACATCGATAAAGTGAAAATAAAATTAATTGCCTATTATATTCATGAGGGCGGAGTAGTTCAGTGGGTGAGCACTGACTTCCAGAGCTGAAGATCCCAGGTTCGAATCCGGCTGATGACTAGTACTTTTTCATTAGCCGTGGATCGACCTTAGGATCGGGAGACACTCTCCTGAGGCACACCCAGCCTCTATATAGAGGATACTCTTAATTAAATATAATTGATTAAGAGAGAAAAACCTGATGGTTGAGCGTGATATCGGCCCAATCACCTACCTGCACAACCGTTGGTCTTGTAACATAACTTCCTCACATTGTGCTGAACCCAAGACCCTTCGTGGGTTGTAGTGGTACAGGTTTTACCTATTGTATTCAATCGATACAATAATATTCAGAGGTGCCCATAAAAGGCGGAAGAACCTACCTCCTCCCTTCCGAAGATATTTTAATGCTAAAAAATTTGGATTTTAATAATAAATTAAATTAATGATAGACTACTGAGTCCTTATTCTTTATTAATACTTCTAATATAGTGTCCTTCATTGTTATCCTCATTAATATAGTTATCCATGTACAATTAGTAATTTACCTAAATACTAAAAATTTACTTACCGCTAAACACTATAGCTAAAAAAATGATGTAGTTACATAGATTATATAAGCTTTTTTTGTGAAGTAATTATTTTTAACAACATGGTGCTTAGAAACTCTATTGTTATTGCTAGAAAAACTATTGTTCACAGAAAAATTAAAAATATTGAATCATATAAAGTTACAACGTTCATTTAACAAGAGACTCTTTGTTAAGGATACCGTTTTCCTCTTTAAAACTCCTTAAGGAATTTTCTATTAAGCTAAATTCATTTACGAAATTAATTAATATTTTTCATTATTGTTTAAGAGAGGAAAATTACAAAAAGAAACTTTCTTAATGAAATTGTTAGCTTAGGTTAACTGGCAACTTCTCTCATTATTTTATAAAAGCAGAAGATTTCACTTGAAATTATTGAATCCTTTCTTTACTTAAGAAGAAATCCCTATTCAATTTTTTTCAATATGATAGGTTCATATCAAAGACCCATATCCGTCATTTTCAGAAATTGGAGATTTTATTTAAGAATGTTCAAGTTGAATCAGGAAAATAAATCATTGAAGCTACGTTAAATAAAATTGGCTTTTTCTCAACATTTTGAAATTGACAGATGTCCGTCTTTGAAACGAAACCTTAGCATAATTTTAATAAACTTATAGGTCTAAACCACGGGTCTCCAAACTACGTCCCGCGAAAGTTTATATAATTACATCGTAAAATTTTAAAAACTATTAAAGAAATATGAAGTTTTCCAAATATCACAAAACAGAGGGTACTACAACATGTATTACATGTTTTTTTTCTTTTAGAAAGCTCATTTCAAAAATGAAGTGTCATTTATAGGACAAGATTTTTTTTATCACAAGAGATGGCCATGGCCTGTGGAAAATCTGAATGTGGCCCGCGGGCCAAAATGTTTGGAGACCTCAGATCTAAACCATTGTTTCTAATTTGTTTTTAATTTCTCTTATAGTCAGTCAGATGTTCTCTTTTTTTCTCTCTCAGAAGGCACTTACAAGTGCTTTCCGCATGGGCGTAAGTAGAAGAGGACAGGGGGAGAGTCTTGCCCACCTCCTCTAAATAATTTGAAAGGAAATAAAACATAATGATTTATAAAGCACACACACCTTGGTCTCCTCGACAAGTCTTCGCCGGATATTTCGATCTTGTGCTGTTGCTCACCAGCTGAGTAAGTTGCGGGCATCCGTGACAAGAGTGTCTTCACTTCTGCGCCGTTGTCTTCCTCTTCCTATCGCCCCCATCCAGCAGTCCTCTGGGCATTTCTTCCTCCAGTATGCGCGCAACGTGGCCAGCCCACCGCAGTCTTCCCAACCTAATAATCCTCATTATATTAGGATTACATTTAGCCTCGTCATAAAATTCGTAAATTTCCTGATTAATCCTCCGTCTCCAGTCTTCTCCTAACCTTCGTGGTCCAAATATTCGTCGAAGGATTTTTCTTTCGAATATATGAATTCCCATTTCCTCATTACTTGTAATGGTCCAAGTCTCTGGCCCATAAGTTAGGACAGGCTTTATAAGAATTTTGTATAAGTGGCACTTAGTACGGCGGTACATTTAGTCTAGACATTGTAGTACACTTGGTAGAAAATTCGAGAATATTAATTTTTAAAAATTGTTGTTCTATGTATATATTATATTTTATATAAAACTATTTATAAATTGTAATAATAATAAACTTTTCTGAAAATAATTTTTCCGTTTTTTCCTCGCCAATTTGAAAGTTGCGAACGCTCTTGCCTTTCCGCCCTAAAATATACAAAATAATATATGATATTTTATGTAACTTATCGTTTTATATGTGTATTACTTATATTATTTAAAAAATAGATTAAACTTTGATTGACAAAAATTGCTTCTATTGTTTCCTCGTGAAACTTACCATCCTTTTAGAGATTTAAATGTTTTTTATTCACCCCATCACCAGATCATATCAATATAATCAACTACCTATTTCATTAAGCATAACGTAAACTGCAAACTTCCTTTGTGGAGTGTATTGGAGATTGAGTGGAAGGGGGGGGGGGAAATAAGGGTTAGAAAATGGTTCCTCTTGGGTTAAGCCATGTGTTAATTTAAAATAAATTATATATATTTCTAAATTATATTTGTTATAAATATTAGGTTTTAAAAATAAAATTTAGATAACTACCTCAATAACCATATCGACAAATTTTATAATGATTCAAAGATATTCTTCTCAGTTTAATATTTTTATCTAATTCAATCTGTTTCGTTAACCATAAAACGGTGTCACATTTAAACATATTGGTTATTAATAAATCATTTTCTTTTTAATTAGTTATTATTATACCATTGAATACTAAAATGGGAGGCTTTGCTCTATAATACAAAGCACAAAAACATAACCTGTTGTTTTGTTTCACTCAAAAGACACTTATGTTTCATATTATCCTGTGTTAAGATCTATAAGATCGTTACTATATAACCTTTTGTTTCGGATACATTGTTCATCACAGTACTCTTCTCCAGCACATTTAAACAAATCTTTTACCATGTCAAAGTTTATCTTGAAAGTTAAAACAAAATCTGGTCAGCAAATTGTAGATAATGCTAATTTAACGAATACGATCCTGGAACTGAAACAGATAATTTCGAAGTTTGTAAATATTCCTGTTAATAATATGAACCTCTTAATTGGCTTTCCCCCTAAACCAATTGATGCAGACTTTTTACACAAGACTCTAGCAGAAGTGAACATTAAGTCTGGAGATACATTAATTGTTGAAGAAACTGCAATACCTGTACCTAATCCTACAAAGGTTTTCTCTCCTCCTGATCGACCTCATGTTGAAGAAGATAAATTAGATGGTGGGTTATTAATGAGACAAGTTGTGCCTGCAGACAATTCCTGTCTTTTTACTAGTGTTGGCTTTGTTTTAGGAGGTATACTAAAGTAACATTATTGCTAAGAAGTGTAATCAGAATGCATTTATCAACAATTAACAATATCACTTTTAGGGAAGGTAGATACAACTGCTGGTTCTTACATGAGGCAGATAATTGCTGAACAAGTTGCTAGTAATGAAGATCAATACTCTGAAGCAATTCTTGGTAAACCCAATAAAGATTATTGTCAGTGGATTTTAAAACCAGAATCTTGGGGAGGTGCTATTGAACTAGCAGTATTGTCCAGTTTTTATGGGATCGAAATAGCAGTTATTGATACTATGAATGGTGTTATTAACAGATTTGGCGAAGACAAAAGTTATGACTATAGAGTATTTCTAATTTTTGATGGCATACATTATGATCCTTTATATAGAGAACCGATTGAGGTAATTTTACTGATAATATAGAATTATATCTTCCATATGTCAGGTAGACTAGCCTGTTTATTGCTTTTTCCTAAATCTTTAATTAAAATTATTTGGTCTGTGTTACGTGTTTTGTGGTGTAAAATATCTATTTAATATCTCTGTATTGGTACAGAAAAGTAAATTCACTGTTTCCCCTAATCATTCATTTTCAGCATTCATCTCTGTAAGCCAACATTACACTCGGTTTAATTTTTTCTTTTTATTTCCTACAAAAGTTTAAACCTATTTTAAGTAAAATATTTTTAGAACTTGTTATTCTATCATGTTATTTATATTCACAATGTGTATCTTATTACAACTTATCCTATTGGGTAATGTGGGGAAGAATAAAAAAAGTTATTCTCTTTACATTAATATCTCAAGTTTAAAACGGCAACTTTTCTTTTTTTTTTTGTTTCATTTTAGTATCTTTTTTTAGTATGTCCAACATGGTTCTGCAACTGGCTTTAATTGTGTAATAATTTTTAAAAAATAGAAAGTAATTGCAAAAAATCTAACTTTGAATTCAACAAAATAATCAAGAGTATTTTCTTTAAATATTTAAATTGCCTAACTCTTTTTCCCTTGAACAAATTAGGGAAGATAGTAACATAATTTTGGGTTTTATTATACTAATAGAAAGGCAAGTAAATATCACATTATCAACAAAAACTTAGCTTCATCCATTTTTATGAAATGTCATCAATATGATGATATTTTGAATTTCAAAGATTAATTTTATTTAGTTCACATTGACCTATATTATTTCTTATTTCATTATTTATATATATATATATATATATATATATATATATATATATATATATATATATATATATATATATATATATATATATTAGTGTTCGTCCACTGGTCAAAATTAGAACATAATCATTATTGAATATTTGATGAAAACATATTATTTCAAAAATATTTGAATGTTTCAAACAGTTTTTTTTTCTACTGTTATACATTCGTTCATTGAATATCTGAGAATTTACACTTTTATATGTACTTAAAATACAAAGCAGTTCAGTAATATTTGTGTACGTTTTGAATTATTCTCAAATGTAAATCTGTAGCCATCGTAACTTTTTTTCAGTCTCTTTTCGGGGAACTATGTAATATATCTAAATTAAAAGAAGTTCAAGTAGAAGACTTTAGCCTAGTATCATTAAAATTGTTACAGTCATTTTAATGCTATTGTCCAGGGGTCTCCAAAGGGGCTAAATCCTGCGGGCTGGATCAGGGCTGCGAAAGTTTCTTTGATTACATGGTAAAATTTTAAAAATCATTAAAAAAATGTGAAATTTACCAAATTACACAAAAAAACAACAAATTACTACAACATTTATTGTATGTTTTTCCTCTTAGATAGTTCATTTCACAAATGAAGTGTCATTTATAGGACGAGATTTTTTTTGTTATCATAAATAACCTGGCGGACTGAGGTGGAGGTCTAACAATGCGGCCCTTGGGCCAAAAAGTTTGGAGACCCCTGCTATAGTCTATAGCAACACAGCTTATTCTGTCTCAATTCCGATCCAAAAGACTGGATGGTCATGAAATGTATATTCCTGAATTTGATTGCAATGCTGTATCAAAATTTCAAAGCTATCGGTGAACTTTCGAAGATTATCGGTTTCGATCAAACTAAGGTTTATTTATCTATGTGCACTGTTTCCTCATTTTTTTCCATGAATATTCAAATTTTGTAGTATGCCATGTCCATAACTTCATGGGTCAATGTTCATTTTTAAATAATATTCATTATATATGTAATTTTTTTATTTAAAATACTGATAAAACTTTCGGGGAATCCTCCCTGTCTTCAGCATCTGATTTCTTCTATATTAAATACATTATAGGTGTATATCTTTAAGGTCACTTAATTTACAATACAGTATATCTTTTTCCTCATAGAAGGTATACTAGCCTGCATTTAAAAATTTATAGGAAGTAATAATGGATATTATTTAAAAATGTCAATACATTTTTTAAATCAATTTTTTTTTTATTGTTAACACTAAGCTCATCAACAGCTACTAAAAAAAAAGAAAGAAAATCACTTGAGAAACATAGGAGAAAAATATACTAAACTTTTTTGTCTTTAACTATTTATATAATTTCTCCTTTTCATTATCATGGTCTATTAAAGAAAATTTATCAATTTAATTCAATTTTCTCTATTTTTTGTTGTTTGAAATTTCTTCTTTTATTTAAATAAGATAATAATATAAACAAATTCATGAATTTGTTTATATTATTGCTTGCTCAACAATTCAATTATAGCTAAACCTTTATATGTTAACATTAAAGGTCTCTAAAATTATGAAATGTTTATCAAATTCATTATTTCTCTTAACTTTATATATAAGAAAATAACTGTATTTGTATTGTTTATTTTTTTTATAACAACTTTTTTTTTTGTGATAATTGCTGTAAATAAAGAAAGATAGGTGTGTTTAATGGCAGATTTCATACATTAAAAATGTGTGTATTATGAAGAAAATTGTTACTAAGGAAATTCTGGACTTATTACTACCAAAGCAATTTCAACATTGTTTTCAATTTTATTCTGTTTTTTTTTTGTTAGTTTCTTTATGATATTTACAACTGTATTAGTATAAGTGCATAAAGTAAATGTGTACAGAGGAATATAATCACATGAAAACGCTTGTTGAGAAACTACCCATTGGTAGTACTTTAATTTTAATGGGTTTTTAATACCTCCACAACTTTTATTATTTTCTTATGATTATTTATTAATTTTATTAAAATAACTAAAAATGTATATGCATTCCCATTTTAATTTTAAAAATTGAGAAGATTTAATTTCATTAAGAGATTTTTGATGAACTGAAATTCAATTCTATTTCTGTAATGTGTTTGTAGGACTAGTGATGTGAAAATTGTTAATATTTTATTGATATTGTTAACAAAAGTATTTATTTTTATTTTTAGCCTGATGGATCCATTCAAACATTTTTCCTGACTTCAAATGACAAAGTGTTAAAACTTGCCGAAGAACTTGCTCATGAAGCCAAGACGAGTAAACAGTACACTGATGTGAATAGGTTTACGCTTCGTTGTTTAGAGTGTAAAACCGAACTTACTGGGCAGACTCAGGCCCAACAGCATGCTCAACGAACAGGTCACATGAACTTTGGAGAAATAGCCAGTTAACAGAATGTATTTATGAATCCTTCATTTATTGAACTTTCACCTTTTGCAATTTTTTTGTAAATCTAAAACCACTGCTTACACATTATGAAAACATGTTTCAGCGTAATAATATACTGTTTTTATTACCACAATTAGTTTGTATCAGATTTATTTTCTTCATTTCGTTTATAGGATATGAAGATTTTATTCCTTATAAATCTTATTCATTAACCAATGCAATGTGAATTTGTCAGCTTTTAATAATATGTTATATTTAAAATAATAAATTTAATTAAGGTAATTTGTTACCTTAAGAATTAATAAAATTGGCAGTTTTTTTTAATGCCAAATGCAGAAATAATTTCTTCTCAAAAAGAAAGAAACATTAGAATTTTCTATTTTGTTGACTGCTCAAATATTATGGATATGTTGTAAAATCCATATTTTATTTTGTATGCTTATATGTCAGAACACTTATATTTTGTTTAACCAAATGTTTCATTAAACACTATTTTATAGTATAAAATTTTGCTTGATTGTTAATTGTCTTTCATTATTTAATCTTTGAAAGTTTGATATAATGACTTGAATACTCATTGTTTCATTTTATTGGTAAAGATATTTAATTATTCTGTTTAATTTTCTATAAGTAAAACTAACTCCTGTTCACATATACTTTTTTGTGGTATTAACTGTTCATTGAATCATTTTTTTTATTTTATAAATCTCGTAAAAATTATTATAATTCATAATGCATGTTCCAACTTATTTAATCAAAATCGAGTTTTAGTTTTGAATATAAAAAAAACAACTATTCTCTTAAGCATATTACTTACTGATTAGTAATTGTAAGTTCTTTTGATAAATTTCTATAGATTCAGAGATATCATAATAACTTTTAAAAAACAATTATTTATATTTCTTCAAACACAAGTTATTATATATAAATTTATCATAAATGATTAATTTTAAAATGGGTTTGATGTGATTTTTATCTTATTTAGTTGTTATTTGTAACTTTACCTCATTCTGGCATTTATGTTAATCTATAAGTAACTAGCCTGACATTTCCAGCTTACAATGAATGTGGTATATTTTTATTAAGGGAAAATAAGAAATACCTATGTAATTGACATTGCATTGGCATTATTTTAGCTTCTATGTCCTAAAGGTTCTAATTACTAGGAATCACTTCTAATTACCTTCTAATAATACTGTAGTTATAATATTCTTTGTATAACTATGCCTATTTTATATTTTTTAAAATGCTATAATGGTCAACTAGATAGACTTGAAAATAAGGATTTTTATTTGGTCATTATTTGGATTTTACAAACAAAATTGCTTGAATCAACAAAACAGGTTTATCAATAATATGGCTACTTATTATGAAGTCAGGCTATGGCATACAATTATTCTGTTACATCAGGAGTGGATTGGTCCTGGGTTTAAGGACACCCTCTTGGGGCGTACCCAGCCTCTATAAAGTCAGTATCCTAATTAGTTAAGAAAATCGTGGAGTTGAACATGATGATGGCCGAATCACCTCCTTGCGCAATCGTTGGCTTTGAAACAGTACTTCCTTAAAAATTGAAGACTTGGTGAGTTGTAGTGCAGGTTTTTTGGCTACTATTTGTATATATCTGATCTATAGTCTGTTTTAGTACAGACCCCTTTTTATCAAATTATCAACATTTCTCTGAAACTTTGTAAATAGCTTCATCTCATCGTTACCTAAAAATGTTTCATTTATAAAAATCTTGGCATTGGGGTGTTCTCAATTTGGAGATTGTTAAGCTTTGTCTATTTAATTAGTTACTAAGAATTCATGCAAACCCATTTGCTTTACACTCGAATCATAAGATAATATGATCATAAAATCGGGAAAAAAATGTGGTCTACAAAAATATTGTACCATTTGGTCTGTATAACCTCGTTATTTTGACATTTTGTGGGTGGAGGTCACACCAAATGGACCAATAGTTTTGTATGCCTCCTTTTTTATCGACTTTTTTTTTTTTGTGATCATATTACCTTACTATTCAAGTGGAAAGCAAATGGGTGTTCATAAATACCTAATTAAAAAGACAAATTTTGCCCTTCTCCAGATTAAAAAAGCCCCAATTCCAAGAATTTTCATATATAAAATATTTTTAGGTTACGATAAGATGAAGCTATTTATGAATTTTTTGGTAGGTGTTGATAATTTGATATAAAGGGGTCTGTACAATGTACTACTAGGTTTTACAACGTCATTTGGGGAATCCAAATTAACAATTAACTTACCTCGGTAAAATTTTGATATGATACTGTTTTGATCTAGGTACGAAGTATGAAACAGTTACATTTAGATTTTTTTTTTAAACTTCCTTATGGATGATAAAAAATATCTATTCAGATTTTAACCAGGTTGAGGTTTATCGCTTGTTTAGAAGTGTTATCTAAGAGTAACTTTGTTGCAATACTTAAGGCCTCATTGTCTGTGATTATTAATAAGAAAAGAATTGGTTGAATTATTTTTCCAAGTTAAATTAAATTCCAGATGAGATGCATTCTGGTTTGATTGTTAATCTAGGTAATAGCAATGAAAGGTGTTCACTTTAATTCTATTACAAGCTGTTTAATAATTAAAATCCGATCAATTTTCAGCCACTGTTTAGATTTATTTAGTTTAGTGTCAGTATCTCAGAGCCACAAATAGTTCTCTTGTCTATCAGTTTACAATATATTACTAAAACAAAAATTATGTTGAACACAAACATTTATTATTTATTACTTAATAGCTTTGGTGTTATGGCTAAGTGAATGTTTATAGAAATTTTGTAGTTGCATCGTTGAGAATGTTTCTGAGAGGAGTAATAAAGTAAATTTAAACAGATAAAATATTTTTTTAAATTATATATATACTTAATAAACTTTAGAAGTTTATTACAATGTGATGATACCTTTGGACTTCAATTCAATTGTTATCAAAAGGTAAATAATAAAAAAAAAAATGGAGCAATATAATGTGATTTTTTTTTAAATTAATGAACTTAAATTTATCTTTATTAAAAAAATAAGTTATAAAAGTAAAAAACTCATACTTCAAGATTTTTCTTGGATTACTAAACACATCTCTCAAAAATGTATTGTTTCTAAATCTCTCTAGACTCTGTAGGTTCTTGATCATTTGTGACTAACATGCTCTAAATGAATTATTAGGAGTCCACTACATTTCAAATTTTTATTTTTGATCATTGCTAAGTGTTAAGGTTGAGGAGGCACATTCTACAGCAATGTGCTATGCTAACCTGACTTACTTTAGCTGTGCTAAACTGAAATTTATCTTTTTGGGTTTTAATATTCATGCTTTTGAGGGGATACAATATATTGAATGGTTTTATATTAAATTAAATTAAGTAACTATTAGATAGTAAACGTTTTACAGTAGAATTTTCTAATGATGGTGTAACATCCTATTTACTCTTACTGGAAAATTAAATTAAGTTAAACCTGAAATTCCTTTAAGTTTTATTTTAATGACAATTTATACTTTTTTTTATGAAAAAAATAAGCTCACTATTTTCAGTTGTGGTGTTGATATACGGAAATGTTGAAATTGTTCCATTAGTTTGCATTACTATGTGCCAATATCCAGCTTTTCTAGTACTTATGGCTGAGCTTGATGCAGTTTAATTTGTCCAGGTCTTCATTTTAATCTATCAACTTCAAAATGCAGTTAATGAAATATTTTTAGTCCCTTAAGAAAGCAATTTTTTTTGGTTTTTAATAAAAAATATTTCAGAAGATATTTGCCTCTTTAATTGTGAAGAAATTTATTGATAATTGCCCTTTGAAAATATTTCTTTGACTAATCTTTTGTGGTTGATTACTAATATTTAAAAAAATGTAAGCTTAACTTAAGTACTGCTTGTTTACCCAAAGTGCCTAAAGCACCGCATCTGCTGCACCCTCTACCTAAATATTGTATTTTATATGTCAGTGTAATTGATTAATGGCATCATTCTCAGAGTCTGCTTGAAAATATACACAGAGGAACTGGTCACTTGATGCTAGAGTTAGCTTATTTTCATGGTTGACGATAACCTTAAATGTAATGAAATTTATCAGTACAAATACAAATTTTATCTCATTTTCTACTGTATTCCTTAATGTTGTGAATTTTATCTGTAATCTAGTCCTGTGCCTCAGAAGCTGCAATCATTTATAAGGCATAAATTTGCTCAGCTTTATATCAGTGATTGAAAATACTCAATATTATAATAAATAAATATATTTTTTCATTTGTTTTTATCTCTTTTTAATTGTAGGCTAGTTTTAGAATTTAGAATTAAGCTTTATTAAGGACATTTACTTATGTGATTTTGGGAAAGATATAAAAAAAAATTTATAATGTTAACATTTGAAATCTGCTATTGCTGAATGTTAAATTTATTGAGAAACTGTTTTGTTGTGTAACAAAATGTTTATTAAATTGTTAACAATTTTTATTATTTTGGTAAGTGCTAATACTCAATATAACTGTAGTTCTCAATCATACACCAGTGTCGGGCGATGAACAATAATTAACTAATAAATTAGTTAGAGGAAATCATTAATTGTACTTTGATTTGGAGTAGAAAATAAATTAATCATGACTCGTTGCAATAAAGCAGTAATGATTTAATTTTTAACCAAGTCTGTTCCTTAGATCAATTCTATTATCAGCAACTCATGAGTGACCATGGATTTAAGGATAGTTCCTATTATTATTTTATATATTTTCACTTCTCCTGTTTTCTAAAAAAATCAACATCATGATTGGTTTATATACTTTTTGTATGATTATTAATATGTTAACAGTCATTGAGTAAAGAATTCCTTTTTTTTTTTTTCATTTTAAGTTACTCATTCAATATATACATTTTTTAAAATTTACTCATGGTGAATGAGTGATGATTAAATTTTCATCTGTGATTAATGCCCAATTCTGCCTAGTATGCCAAATTCTTTTTCAGTGGTAAAATAGTTTGAATTCAATGTTGACTATTTGTCCTCAAGACTGAATTCCATCAAAGGTAAAATATGATGTATGTTTGTCATTTTGTTATATTTTAACTTTTGACATACTCCAGATTTCAGGAGCATTGTGTTGATGATATAAAATTAAAACTACCATTGTTTACTGAATAGAGCTAAAATATAATTTGAGAATATTGAAACTTCAAGGTTACTTAAGAAAAATTGAAAACTTTTATTATTGTAATAGAGAATTATTTTTTTAATTGGTTAAATTTCGAATTTGACTGTTGTTGTTCATATAAAAAATGTTTTAACGGTCTTATTTAACACACAATACATACAGTTATAAAAATTATATTTTGATATTTCTAATTTTTGGGCAGGGTATCTTAATATAAATGTGGAAAGTGTTTTATAAGAAAGTTTAAATGAGTGTCCCTTTTATTTTAGAAACAATAGAATAATACATTTATTTTATACATATAATTTATGTTACAACAGATTTTTTTCATTTTTTCCCCCCTTGTATAGTTTATCTAAATTAGTCAAATTGTATTATTATCTCTTAATTAATCTAAAGATTTAGTTTAAATGATTAAAGTTTTGGAACAATTTACTATATTGTTATTTATTATAACATATTTGTCTCTTTTTTTTTTTTTTTTTACATGAGGATTGTTGAATATATTATTTGTCTAATCACAATATTGGAAGGATTAGTTGATACCCAATCATTTTTTTTTCTTTATTATTATGTATTTTTATACATATTATTTATAATTAAAAAAAATCTTTTAAAATAAATTATTTATGGCCCCACACCATAAGTTCATTTGATAAATTGATTTTACCAGGTGTTAGAATTATAAGAAAAAAAATAGTAAATTAGTTTTCCTGAATCCATGGTGACTTAGCAACCAAGTTTGTTATTTTTGTGACTGTGAGTGATTATGTGTTGCCTTAAGGAAATATAATTTGTCATTGTTAATGTGATAAGGCATTTTCAATAGCTTTTAGTTCTTTTAAACTGCACTGTGCCTTGTTGCATAGTTATATTTAAGATTTCTATCTAAATAATATGTTGAGATGTCTAGTTTCAAATTCTTATATTACTAAATCTTTATAGAGATATATTACCAATCTATTATATCAGTGATGTGATCTAAAGTTAATTTTTTTTTATTTATAATTTTGTTGTGTGTAAAATCACTTTTTCTAGTGAGTTTATTGTTTATAAATTTAAAAATGTTTCTATCCAATCATTTTTTTTTTCTGTGCTCCAAAGTATTTTATAAATTAATATAAGAGTCCTATGTATTGAGTATCACAATAATATTAGGTACATTGTACCTTGCAACATTTCACAGGAAACATTGTATGAAAATATATTGAACAGCTTTATTAAATTTTGTTTTTTTCTGAACAAGTTATGTTTTATGTTCATAAGGTGCCACAGTGCATTTTGAGCCTATGTTTTATTATTTTATTTATTTTTTTTATTCATTATTCATTTTATAAATGAAAATTGTTTTTATTTTATAAGCTTGTCAATTTGAATATTCCTTATTATTTCTTATTAAAAAGTATTAAAAAGCACTGAATGTTCAATAATAATTCTAATTTAATTTTAATGCAAATCATGTGTTAAATAATTCTCCTCGCTTTGATTTATATTCACTTTTTTTTAAAAGTGGTGACAAATAAATTTACAATGAAATGTTTCACAAAAAGATAAAAGTTCATGATGCTACTGAAACTGGTGTTTGAAAATGGGAAAAATTGATCTCAGGTCTTATTTGATAAAAAGACTTTTGTTAAGTTAATTTTTTCTTGAATGAATAGCACATATGTTTTGTTCTTAATAAATAAAACAGAAAACAATAAGTTATTTTGATGCACTTTTCAGGGTTTATTTTAATAATTAAGTTTTTTGTTTTTATTTATATAAATAAAAAAATAAAATTTATAAGGATTGAATAAGTGTTTTATTCCCTACATGTGATTGTTTATTATTAAATTATTAATGTTTTTAATTTATTTATTTCTCTCTTTACATATCCAAATTTAATATTTTGAAACAAACTAATATGGATTAAAAAAATGATTAGCTCAATCATAAAAGATTGAAAGATTATTAGTATCGTAAACAGTGTCAAATTGCAGTGCGTCACCTATTCATGATGGCCGAACAGAAACAAATTGAATTTGAAAATCTCCCCTCACATCTGCTGGAGTGCATATTGTATTACATACCGCTAATAGAAATTGTGAAACTCTGTGCGATCTGTCCAATTTTATATACTACTGGTAATTTTGTTATTCGGAAAAGATTTTTTGAACTCCGTTCTGAAATTTATAAAGAATTAAAGATTTTAGAAGGAGAAATCGATGCATTGCCTAAAAGTGAAGAGTTTTTTGAAAATCGCATAGTTTTATTGAGATGTTACTATTTTCTGGAAATGCTCTTAAGTGAATTGAGCCTTATTAGAGCAGTATGGCGCAGAGTACTTTACAACAAATCTTTAAGTGTAGTCGCCATCGGAAAATTACTACATGAATTTTATTCTGCATTTTACGTAGTAAGTAAATTTTAAAGTTTTGTAGTATATTTGCAAAAGATTTCCCAATGAATTTTATTCTTCTATACTTTAAAGTAATCCTATATATTATTTCTAAAAGGTGTTATTTGTCGTTACACCTTAACTTCGTCAATTCTTCATCAAATCGAATGATTGACTAATCATTTTGAAGATATTCTTCTCCTTCACATGCGAAAAATAGTCCTATTCCCCCGAAATTTCTGAGAAAAAGTTATGAAGAAAAAGAAACTTTATTTGCGAATAACTCAAAAAGTATGCATTTTTTCCTTGATTGTACCCATGATAATTAGAAAGATTATTAAATTACCTACAAAACAAAAAAAAAAATTGGACAATCATTAACAAAGATACAGTCCATTAGTTTTGGTATGCTTAATAATGTTTTCCTGTTTAAAGGTATTGCATTTAGGAGTAGAATAGTCGACTACACTTTTTTTTCTAGCTGATATATTAACTTTATTATTTCTTAAAGACATTTAGTTGTTCTTACATTTTATTTTTTTTTTAATAATTTAGAAATCCCATGATCGGGGCATTATTTTGTCTTTATTACTTTTACTATCTTTCCATTCAGTGTTTAAATAGATCCTAGCAAAGCAATTCATTCACATATTTTTGTCTAATATGTTTAATGGATTTTTGTAATCGACCAAGGAAAAAATATTAATTCCTTCCTTACATAATACATAGGAACTACTTATTTCCATATTGTTTTGCTATTTCTCCACTAAACAAAATTATCTGTGAATTATTCACATGGGCCAACTAGTTGATATTTATTATATCTTGTCCAAGCTTTAATTAAAAAACTATAACAGGCTTATACCTCGGATTTTCTAATGTTAAATGGAATAATCCATAGATCTTGTATTAACCAGTACAAATGAAGATTCATTTTTGACCTGTGGGAGTCTACTAATCATGTTTTTTCCAGAAATTTCATTGTCAGAAATAGATGCCTCTAATGCTAGAGCCTTAGATTTAGCTTCATTGAATGTTTTAGGGTTTTTTAACTGCAAACGTCTCACTGACTGTCACTTAGGCCTCTGATAAACTATTACAATAAGAAAATATATGAGACAGACTTCCTAAATTCACATAAAAATTAACATTTAGGAACAATCTTTTTCAATTCATTTGATTATATATTTATTGGTTCATTTGGATTCTATTTTTTGATAAAAATCTATGTTGTTCTAAATTAGATTTGAATTAATGATTTAAAGTTTCAATTACTTCTTTGTAATTGAAGTTAAAAACTTGAGGCATGGCCATAATTTTTAATAGTTCATAAGTTACTGCATGTATGCTATTTAAGAAAATAATCTTTGACAAAATTTCATTATTTTTTAATATTTTCATTAGTAAAGAAATTTCAATTTCTTCTGAGCACTGAGCAAAAGTTTCTTTTGTTTCATCAAATTTTTCAAAATTATAAGTAAAAAGTTCACACTGTGATTGAGTAGGATTTATTATCATTAAAAGTTCAACCCTAAGCAAATTAGATGGCGGGATCTAGGCTTCTTGATCTCCAAAAAACCAAATCCTTTCCTCGAATCGCTAGCCCAATCCTTAGATCCCATCTATTCCTATTCCTCCATTGATGAAATGGTGGAATGTCTTTCTTCTATTTCTGAATAAACACGCACCCCTACCTTACCAAGACCTCTACCTTCAGATTAATCTTGATATCAGAGAGTTGATGAAGAGAACTGACACAGCTATAAGACGCTTCAGACGAACACGTAATCCAGATTACATCTCTTTCAAGACTCAGCGAAACCTTACCCAATCTTCCTTATGGCATGCTAAGGCACAATTCTTCCATATTTCCTTATCATGCACCAGATCTTAAGCCCTAATGGAAAATCCTCAAATATCTCCATGGTAAATTAAAAAACTATCTATCCATTTATTCAATCTATCCATCTGGTTTGTGGCCTTACAATTGGTCTCTTACCTACTATTGAATCATTCAGTATTGTACAGAGGTTTCCTGAAGAATTGCTCCTAGCTACATGCCCTGCCCATTTTAACCTCATTTCCTTTGAAATTTCGAAATGTATTAACTGAAATACTGTTTTAAAACTTTAAACATTTGTTGGAAAAATCACAGGGAATTAATAAAGGGACAAAAAAATTAAGATAGCCCCTTCCCTTGCAACAATCCTATTTTCAGGTCTTGGTGAATTGATCTTATGTCCTTAAGATCAGGAAAAGGTAATCTTAAAATAATTTGTATTGTTACTTATGATTTTTTTTTTAAATCCATGTTTTTATTTTCAGACAAAGCGTAGGGGCTTACCTCCATGGCACATAAATGATGAAATTGAAGGTAAAGTAATTAAATATGCAAAGTTATTTTTCGAATGTAAATTGGATGAAGTACAGTATGATGAAATGTTTGGCTGCCAAATTTTGGATGTCTTAGATTCCATGATCAACAGGCAATTTAGAATTAATGTCAAGTACTATCCACAAAATAACTTTTGCAGTATAGATGCTGTTTATAAATTGAGAGATCCCCATGTACGTATTTTCCTGGTTATATAATTTCTTTTTAAAGTTGCCTATTTTAATATTGAATATACAAGAAAATTATTAAGGTAGTTATATAATTTGTTTTGGAGGTGGAATATTTATTAATAGTTTTCAATTATATTGTTTCTGTTGATTTATTATTTTATATGAATACAAGTTATTATTATTTCAAGCGGAGTGGGATAACCTAGCAAGCTAAGGTGTGTGCAAAACATGTGTTGCCCGGTCAGATTAATAACATCCGTGTACTGGTGCCAGGGGAGCTTTTAACTAAGGCATTAATCCCCTGTCTTGTCCCCTGGCCCAGGAAAAAACATGTACAGCCTAAAAGGCTAGGAAGGGGGAGGGACAAAAAAAAAATGCTATTTAAAAAATACACCATCAGTAATTTAGATTTATAGTTAAGAATTTATATTTAACAGTTATAAATCAAATTACTGCACACTTCTACCAATTTGCCACTGCAGAAATAAATTATTGTAAGGTAATTTGATATCATTAATGTTGTTAGTTGTAGTGATACATGTATTCAAATTTAATTTCAAGTATAAAATATGTTTTGTTATTCGTGTTTATAAAACAATAAATTTAGTCCGTATTACATAATTTTCAAACTATTCCGAATTATTGCTTAAATATGTTAAGTATATTTGTTAAAAAATTACTTATGATATAATGTTCTTATTAATATGTTTTCTCTATTTGTCATTTCTGGCATATTGGATTGTTGATTGCATACATTGTTCTAGGGAGTAATCAATCACATTGGCTCAATAATCTTAAATTAAATACATTATAATGTTTAACAGACTATGGAGTGTAATAGAATATGATATAATTAAATATCACATACATTTACATGATCTTATAATAATTTTATTGATAATAAAAATAATCTGCTTGAAAAAAATATATTAAATTAAAAAAAAAAACTTTATCTCATAGGTGTATTATACTTTTATTAAATAAACATGCATTTTTGCAGAATAATGTTATTAATAAGATAACTACTATTCAATTAAAGTTATTATAACTAAAAAAATTACTCTTGTCTACTTACCGCTCTACTTTCTTCATTACTAAAAGTGCAACCGAGTTTTTATGTTTTGCTCTTTAAAGCATCAGCAATCGTATTTCAATCTAATTTTATTATTTTTTCAAGGAATACCTTTACTAATCCTTGTTCTTCACAAAAAACTTTATTTCATTTTTTTCCCATTTTTGTGTTTAACATTTCGCACATTTTTCGAATAAGAATGACCTAAATGATTATTTAATCTAATAAAAAGATATGATATCCAATAAATATACTCCGAAAAATTCAACGATAAAAATCTGAGGATCGTCTAAAAAATAATTTAAAAAACTAGTCAAAATGATAAGAAAACATTATTGTCCTCATTTTTAAAAAAACTCTATGTCAATGAAGGACTTTTTACTTCACTATTATTTGTGAAGTACAAAGGGTTATTACAGGTGTTTCTCGAAAAAATAATAAAATTAGATTGAATAATATACACTCTTGAAACTTTGATAGTAACTATCTAGAAACAGCAGTCAGTACAAGAAAAGGATTACTATATCAAAAAGGACACTTTTGAAGTTTTGCCCATTTCATTGTAAAGCTGTGATTTGTTGACTACATATATATATTTAGAGTCAAAAACCCAAGCCAACTGCATTCTACTTGTCTAATGAATAATGATATAATTATATCCAAATGTTATAGCTAATCATATTCTTAGTATTTAAACAGGACTCCAAAATTAAATGAAAATGAATTAACCCAAGAGGAACGAAGAAAAATTTTAACCTATTTTGTTAATCTTGTGAGGATCAACAACCGAGTGGCTCTCCGTGAAGAACAATATCATAGAGAAGTGGAAATTTCGAGGTATAGCAATGCTGTCATTTAAATATATTTATTATTGTGATATTCTAATAAACACTTTTACGATTATGGTTGTAATAGGTCTAGAGAAATAAATATAATGGCTTTAGAAATTGATTTTATACTTCATGGAAGTTCCTCTTGGCTGACTAAAGATGTCAGGAAGTATGTATCGGTTTTCTCCGATCCTCTACGGGAAGAAAGAAAAGTTAATGAAATATTTGAGTTTGAAGAGACGTATCGTTCTTCAGAATTTAGTCATTCTACAAGCATGGAAAAAGTAAATGAAAAAACTTCATTTTACCTATGCTTTCATATCTATTTGATCCAACATATTATTTGAACATATACAAAAATTTTGATTGTTTTTTTTTCTAAAAAAAATTCAAATTTTTAAAAATGCATACTATTTTATCTCTGTTCCTATGATACAGTTAAATATTTATTAATTTTCAAGATCCAATTTCTATGATGACAATTAAAATAATTAAAGGCTTATCAAATTGAAAGAACTGATATCAACACATCTTTGCCCATCATTAAAATTGAAATCTTGATGCTTGATCAGTCTTAACACAATCATCCCATGTTTAGATTTACCTGTCGGGCCTAAGCTGATTAGTTTTTTGGGAGTCATATGTTTTCTCTGGAGGTAGAGGACATTATATCCATTCTATTATTAAATAATTTAGTTACTAAGAAACAAATTTTAATAGCTGAAATTATGCAACATTGGTTCCCCTGAACAAATTCAAAAATGGACATGGTGTTCTTTACCTCTGAGGTACAGGTATATCTAATAATAAAACCTCATTATTTAACTTTATTATTTAAAACTTTAAAACAATGAAAATTCAAAAATGCTAAATGATATACAAAACTAGTCATTTATTCAACCTAAAAGACGTTATAATTTTTAAAAAACATTTTATTTTTCAGTTCTCTTTCTATGATTAATAAAATTTAATATTTTAAGTAAACAATTGTCGTGTTATTCATATCTCCTAAATTCTTAGCTTTAAAAATAATTGATCTTTCAAAGTCAGAATTTTTGGTGTTCATTATTTGTTTCGTGTTAATGTTAAAATATAATTTAAAACATTAACACTAAATCTTCTTTAGTGATTTCAGAAATTCATCTGCTGTATTCAAATCAACTGCCCTTTAAACCAAGCGCCTTTGTCTATTATGGACTGCTGGTCAAGATTTAAGAATGACCTTCTTTCCCAAATCTATGCCAAACCACAGTTTGGATTTCTAGAAGAATCCATTAACGTTTCTGATACAAGCAGGAAAACCGATAACATTGATATCTTAGGTATTACAAATATTTTTATGATTACCGTTAAAAATTCACTTAATGAGGAAATTTTAGTTGAAATGGTGTAAAACTGGGTATTACAATTAGCTTTGTCAGGTTCAAGCCATAAGATTCAATCAGCCCTAATATAAGTACATTAGCATGGCATTAGTCTTAAGAGTAACCAAGTTGTTGCACAGTGTTGATAATTATACTGAACATGTTCCTCAACCAGTCCAGTATAATTAAGGATTTTTTTTTTACTACCAATGTTTTGTTGTAATTATATAAAATGTTAAATTAATAAAAACGTAAGTATACCAGGTGTTGGAAAGGCGAATAAGCTGGTGGGAAAAGTTTTATTGTTGTGTTTTGTTCACCTGAATCCATCTATAGCTTCATAAGCTATACCTCTTCTGCTGAGCAGTGTTACATTAAGGGTCACATAGGACTTAATATTAGTTATTACTCCCTTAAAAAGCTTCTTTATAAAATATGTTTTATATATATAAATGAAAATATATTACATGATATGTCACTGTGATGCTCCAATATTTATGATAGCCCAATTTCAGCTTATTGTATATTGTGAGTTCTGAACTCTGTAAATCAATCAATTCACAAAGTGTATAATGGTTTTGCAAATATTGCCATGGCTTGTCAGATGACAACTGACTGGAGACATTCTTTTGATTCAGGACTACAGCGTTCAGGAGTGATGAATAATACAGCTTATATTGGTTTGCAATGCTTAGGACCTACAATACATTAAATTCTAAGATTGAGAAAATGTATAAAGGCTGTAGCATCACATAGGTATACCTAAAGTATAAAAACTGGAAACTTTTAAACTATCTAACACAAGTAAATCATAGGAAAAAACCCGTTTATTTTATAAAATATTAATGTTTTATTTTAACTTTAAGAGTTTACTTCTGTTTACAGGGGATATAGGAATGCAGTGCACAGTTGAAGTTGTGGTTTCAAGTAATAACAACTATGAAATTGACAGGCTTATGTTTAACGAGCCTTTAACAGTTGGCAGTTCTGATTGAAGAAGTGTTAGTAGATAAAAATAAAAATGTTTTTCAATTTTTGTATTTTTTCTTTACAAATACCTTATGAAATGGCGTATAAAAGCACAGAGCTCAAGTATAAATGGTCGTAGTCAATCAGGTCATTATTATTCATCTAATGCATTGATGTATTACATCATCTACCAGAGTGACCAAGAGTGCTCATTGTTCAATACTGTGGACTAGGACGTTGGGAAGGATATATTTTTCATAACATTTTATCAAAACATACAACTGACAACTTCATCTGAGAAATATATTTTTTGATGGAACTGTAATCTAATGTTTATGTTTGACTTCAAACATCATTGAGTATGGTATCATTCAAGTTCAACCTTTCACCATCAGTGTTTCTGGAATTCAATGTCCCTCAAAAACAATGAACTAGCAAAAGCTTTTTTACCAAAGTTCTATTAAGAGGATCTTGCATATTGTTCAAAAAGTCAGTTAAAAATAAATTTATAATACACTTATTTTCTAAAAATGTATAGTATTGTTATCTATCTGCAAGTTACTTTTAACTGACTACTGTTTAAACCACAAGCGTATGTTGCCATTTTTTATATCCTATTTAAAGTTTTTACAATATATTTTAAATACAATCAGAGCCAATTTGATTTCCTTCCTGATGTTACACGCAGGTATTTCATCTAGTTAACTAGGCAATTTTTTTATTACATAACCAAATAAAAAAAAATTAGGGTGTAATGGTACTTCTCGAAAAATAAAAGATATTTTGTTATGTACAATCGGTAGACTGTAATTTAGTGTGAAAATTAGAAGCAACATCCTTTTATATACAGTCTCATTTATTTCCGTTTGGTTATTGGAACTTTCAGTGCTCTGTACCATATTCATCTAAAAAATTTATGTAAACACAAATATATCACAAAATACATTATAACTATCACTTGTCACAGAGGATTCTGTCATGTTTCTACATACCTTTTTAAGCTAATTCCATCCAATTTGGATGTTCTTTAAAAAATTGTTTGCTCATATCCAACCATTGTAGATTGTTGTTGTACTGTATGTAAAAAAAATAATAAGTAAGTGATATTACAAATAAATTCTTACCACTAATTAATTACAGTAGAATAGATTTAAAAAAAAAATTCTATTTCGCAATTTTTTTATTCTTATGTTTTTGATTTTTAACCCTCAGATATATATATTTTTTTTTTATAAAACGATTACAGCACGACAACAATCTATTATGATTGGAAATAAGCAAAAAATGTTTAAAGAGTGGCATCCTTAAAGTGGATGGAATTAGCTTGAAAAGGATGTAGAAACATGGCAGAATCCTATGTGACAAGTGAAAATTATAATGTATTTTGTGATATACATGTATGTAGTAAATTTTTAGATGATAATGGTGCAGAACATCGAAATCTCCAAGAACCAAATGGAATAAATAGGACTATCTAACAAGGGGCGTTGTTTATAATTTTCAGATATTTTGTTTTTTAAGTTGAAAAAATATTTACAAATATCTTTTACGTTGTGCTTAAAAGTGATATATTGATTTTTATTGTTAAAACAGTATTAATATAATGAATATGGCATCATCTTCAATTATAACCCCTAATATACCATTCAGTATTGTAATCTAAAGTATTAGAGAGCAACATGAGATGCGTGATATTTCTATGGTTTGCTAATCACCAGAGATCGAGCGCCTCACTTATACTTGATTTTTTTCCTAATAAAATCATTTTTAATAAGTTTCCTATTATTAAAACTCACAGTTGACGTATCTATGGAAATCAAACACATTAGACTTCCTTTAAAATAGACTGATGAAGTCTTATCCTCTAACAGACTAAAAACCTTAGAGCAAACTTAGAAAATGCAATCCTCATGTTAAACTCAACTACCTCAAAATTCTGCCAACGTAAAGTTAGGTTGAACACTAAAGTATTTAAAATTATAGTTAAATTTTCTCTTCTATATTCATATCAAAATATTTAATCTGTTAACAACTATAAAAAAATAACTACTTTTTTTCTCTTCTCTTATAACGCCTTTTCTCACATTTCACTAAACTTTTGTACAATTTTTTAACTCAAAAGGAACTGCCGCTATTTATATATCCACTTAAAGGAATGCATAAAATTCCATCTGTTTGACACTATTTTAACTCTCACTTTTAATATTATTTAGTATGTTTTGAATTAACTACATGTTACAGCTTTAATATGTATTTTTACCTTTTAAATCTAAATGTTTTGGTCCTTTTTATTGCAAAGATTTGGAAGTTTGTTTAAAAGGTTCATCCAGCTTGTGGTGATCCAGCATTAAAAAATAATTAATTTTCTTATTCATTCGTTAATGATTCATTAGAAACTTACATGTATCACTGGTATAAATGCTAGTAAAATTACACATATAAAATATTAAACATCCTGGATGGTCGTTTATTTTTTTTACTTGCATTTTGTAATAGAAACCATGACTCAAGAATTATTTTGTCATTAGTTATGTTACCATGGCAACCTATACTATTATACTTATCATTAGTTGATAAATAAAAATGTTATTAGGTTAATTCTTTAACTTTTATAAGTAGTTAATGTTTCTATAAATTTTACCTGAAAAACAATAATATAATTCTGATGATTTGGAACCTCGCAAACGAAATTGTACTTTATTAATTTCCAAAAATATTTCAACTAATCAGGAACAAAGAAAGGCCATTTAGGCCTAATAAACCTTTCTTCATATTATGCAAGATGAATTTGATTTTGATAAACTTCCTTATCACGTTAAAGAGAACATATTCAAGTGTCTTCCTTTTAGAGATATTGCGGTAATTTGTACAGTTGATTTAACATGGCTTTCTATTGGAAACAAAGTGATTAGAAATCATTTCTTTGACTTATGCAAACTGACTAATGAAGAGCTGATAAGATTAAAAGGAGAACTTAAGCTACTCCCTCGCACTGCTGTATGTCTGCAGCGTAGATTGGTGATATTGAGGTCATATTATCTTCTTGAAATGCTTTTATGTGAGCTTGAAATTGTTAAAGTTATATGGAAAAATATTCTTTACAATAGAGAAGGAAATACTTGTTCTCTTGGAGTTCTGCTTGATGAGCTTTACCACACATTTAAGATGGTAATTTGTTTTAACATTGTGCTAATGATTATTTTCTCTACATGAACTTTTTGAAATGAAATTTTCATATTATTTAAAATTTCTTGACTTATAGATATTAATTATTTGAGAAAAGAATACTATATTTATCTATGTACAATCTTTACTCTTTGGGTCATGTCGCATATTAAACTCATTGTCAGTTATGGAATTTGAATTTTCTTTGAAATAAGAAAATGCTATCAATTATTTCTTTGTCATCTAAAAGATTTGTTTTCCTATAATATTGGATTAAATAGGGTTTTTATATTTACTTAGTTTTTAATAATTTTATTTGCTAGTAAATAAACTAATATAACAAAGAAAATCATTCATTGATCATTTGAATACTTTTGTTTGGCACCTAGTAGTGTTGGTAATTTAATGAATGATTTCAGATTGTAGAGATAAAGAAGAAATTTATTTATTATTTTTATAAGTCCATATCTAAATATTTTATTGTTTAACAGATCTTATGATGACCTAAGTTAGTTATCAATCACTTGATTAGGATTTTAAATTCTTTCTTTAGTTAACATTGAAACGGTCAAAATCTATTTCTTTATGTAAGATATTCTTACCACATTACTTCTTTTATATTGGGTGATTTGCCATGAAAAAAATTCGAAATTCAATTCTTATAAGAGAAAGAGCTGTAAGGACCAACTTCTTGATCTTCTTAAAAATATTATTACATTAGCAGGAAGATCGATTCATAAAAATCTTCTTGCAAGTTCGTAATATAAGTTAATTTTATGTTGATAATTAGAAAGGAAGGATTGGTTAAATAGCAACAGATATGTAAATGTTGGGATTAACTGCAAAATCTTACACTATCCAACAGTGTCCTGCATTGGTTAAAATCCTTCCTCTCAAATCGGGCTTAGTATATAGTTGTCCCAGGTCAACATCCATCTAAGACCCCTCACCTCTCCTGTGTCATCCATCAAGGTTCCTCCCTATCTTCTACTCTGTTTGCTATTTACACCAATGACCTTCCCCTCCTGATCCATCACTCCCAATACCATATCTATGCAGATGATTTCCTAATATACTTCTCCTTCCCGCCTTCTGACCCATTACCAGCCACAAAAAAACTTCAAGAAGACTTAAAACAGAATCTGTGAATGGGGAGGAGCTAACCAGCTGAAGTTGAATGTAAAGTAGATGAAGGCAATCCTAACAAGCTCCAATCACCTCCTTAAAACTGTTCCTAACACTCAACCCTGTTCCAACACGATAATCCCATAAAATTTTATCCTACCATCATGAACCTTGGAATTAACCTCGAGTCTGTACTCTTTCCTGGAAAAACCATGTATCCAATATCTCCCACCGTACCTTTTCGACCTTAAAATGTCTAAATCACCTCAGCCACCTTCTTCTTTTCGAAACCCGTACACTCCTGGTCACCTCCTTAATATTTTCCCACTTTGACTATTGCTGCACGGTATATGGAGGCGTTTCTGGGGATCTCCAGGCGCAACTAAAGCGTTTGATGAATTGCTTTGTAAAATTTATCTTCGGGATCCTAAGGGACGTCTTTGTATCCTGTTTCTATGAAGAGTTAAAGTGGCTATATCCTTCCTACCGTCTTAAGTATTTCCTGCCATCTTTCCTCTTCCAAATCATTCAATCATGCCGCCCCTCACATCTCCGAGCTCCTACTATTCAAATCATCAGTTCACTCCCGCAATACCTGTTCCCGGTCTTCAGATTTATATGCAATGGCCCGCCGATCTGCTGCTTTCGATAGATCTTTCATTATTTGTTCCTTGAACCTATGGAACTTCATTCCTCCCTATATCCGTCGCTTCAATACCCTCTCTACTTTTAAATCCGACATATTCAATCACTTCCTTCCCATCCAGTTCCCATAAAATTGTAAATAGATATTCCTGTAAATATGTATATACATTATTAGTGCGTTTTCAATTACTTCATATTTTATGTTTCCTTCATTTATTTTTTGTTAATTGATTAAAGTTAGAAGATAACTTTACTTTTTTTTCGATTATATTTATCATTTTAAACTGTAAATATACTTGTGTATCTCTAAGGCTCAACAGTCCACATTTATGTTCTTGTTTATTATTCTAAAGGGACTCGTCCCTGAATGAATAAAGTGTTATTATTATTATATTTAAAGATTATATCTGAATAGGGAATGTATTTTAAGCTCCTTAATCGAAGAGAACCAAAAACTTTATAAGCTTCTTGCTGGAAAAGCTTATAGCAGGCTTAGAAAAATAAGAGGTCACAGGATTAGGTTGTTTATAATTTCATATATAGCAGAATTATGAGACCGATAATCATATAAGGGCATGAATAAAAAATAAAGAATCAGAAAAAGTAGGTTAATCTGTAGTTAGAACAGAATCTTGATTTAGTAAACTGGAAAATAATGATTAACATGTTTCTTAAAATGATAAAAGGTCTGTAAGGCCAAATGTAATTTTTCAAAAATATTTTTATCAAATAAATAGAAATTTAAAATATTCGTAATTTAATAATTTGAATATTGATTTTAGTTATTTATTTTTTTCTAAAGAAGTAGCATGTTTCTTTATCCTAAATTTTCTATGGACTTCTTGAATATGATTTTCTTTAGTCCATTTCTCACATAGACTTTATCTTATTTCTAACACAATACCAAACAAAACATTAAATTTTTCAGTGTAAGCGAAGAAACCTGCCTGCATGGCGTGAGGAGAATGAAATAGAAAGCAGGATGCTAAAATATACAAAAGCATTCTTTGATTACAAGTTGAAAGATATTGACTTAAATAAGTATTTTGGCTGCTTGATTGTAGATTTTATGGACTTAATGATTGACCGGGAATACACTGTTGATGTTTGTTATACTCTTCAACGAAATATCTGCACCATTAATGGTTTCTATAAACTACCGAACCCACGGGTATGTATGAAATTAAGAATTTAGTTAAATAATTAATTGCTTGAATGTCAGTTTATTTCCCACTAAAAAAACACAGTTTTAAAATGTATAAAACATAATTATGAAATACGTATTTGGAGAAGAGATGTATCAAAAATTTGTATGATTAATGTTGTTTTAAAGTTTCTAGATTAGTTGTTTATTTGGGGTTTAAATTCATTATGTACAGTGAGGATGAGTTTCCAACCTATTATAGTCAGATTAAGAAAGTTGATATTCATTCTGTGAGTTACACAACAATAAATTTCAACTTGGCTAGGCCAGATTAGAACAAGCATTTCTTATTCGAGATGCTAAAGCGGGCAGTGCCTTAACACACTCAACCACCATGACCTTAATTAATTTTAAGTCCAATGATTAATAAATATTCCTCATTAAATAAATAAAATACAATATAAATTGTTAGATCAATTTTTTCTATTATTAATTCTCATTTATCATAATCTCAACAGATTGATAACCTAATGGAAATTCCATCCCATCCTTCCTGCGTCTGTTAGTTGGAATCCTACAGAATATCCATCTCCATAAAATAAATAAATGGTCTTTATTTATTTTAGATGTATGAGAAATTTTAAAATTTCTTAATATTAATTTTCAGTACCTTAACAGACCTCCACAGTTACAAGACATGCATTCTGACAGGCCATCTTTAGTTGATAAGAAGAAAATTTTGCAGTTTTTCATAAACTTGGTTAGAATCAACAATAGAGTTACTTTACGGGAAGAGCAGTATAACAAAGAAACAGAATTCTCTTTGGGGTATGTGATTGTATCAATGATTGAAATTACATAATAATATAATGTTAAAGTTACATTTAATGAAATCTGTATTTTGAATAAAGAGAAAATAAAGATTCATGAAAATTTTATCTAATATAGTGATATCATAAATCATGATCTGTTATTTATAAATATCTAATTATTACTCTTTTAAATAGTAATATTTATTCTGAAAAAAATGTATATAATGAAAAATTTCATTTGTTTTTAAAAATGAAATACTTTTTTTATTCTACAAAAATGATTTTATTTTTATTTTTGTAAGGTTTGGCAATCCCGATCAAGGTTTTATTAATATCGAGAATATGGCAATTATGAATGAGGTGAGAGATCATCTGATGACACTTGCTGAAAAGAACTATGAATTAAAAAAAACTGATGGATTATATGACATAATGGCTTCATTCCAGTCAGAGGGTTTTGATACAAATAACTTGGATAAAGTGCGTCAGTATAAAATGGCATTTACTAAATCTTGCTTAAACTTAGATTTAATATAGTTTCTTTTAATCATTAATCTAAATATTTGCTAAATTGTTAAGGAAAAATATATCTTTGATTACATTAAAAAAAAAATTATGAAGATTTTTTTTGGTTTTAAGACTTGTCAAAGCAAGTCCTATTTTGCCAAAACTATGAAGCTTTTATATTAAAATGAATTTTTTAATTAATCGTTAACCCTTAAGAGGATACATAGTTTTTGTTGAAAAGACATAAACCATAATTAAGTTATAATAAGACTCTAGACTCTCAAATAATATTTAATATACAACCAGCCCACATTTCACCGATTCCGTTATCATTAGGACCAAAAACCATAAAATCATTTTAACCTAAAATAAAATAACCTAATAGGTAGTAAAGCACTCACTAACAGTTCTAAATATCAAAGTCTAAAAGGAGGGATAACTTTTAAATGCACAAAAAAGTGATGAAACTATGAAAATAATGAAACTTCACACCATTGATATGTGAGACCTAGTATATGTAGCAGAGGCTGATATATGTTACAAATAGAATGTCAGAAGGTCTATTATTTCATGATTCAATAACCTTTCTGATAACTCATATCATTAACAGAAAACAATCGAGAATTCTGAAAACATTTTTTTTGATGAAGCGAAAACTTCTTTAGGCGCGTTTCGTACTTTTTTGTGGAGAGTGAATTAGATTGAGCCGTCAGATTTTCAAAGTGCTAATGCTCAGGTAAAGTCGGCTAGAGTAGACTAATTGAAATGTTTTTACAGATGGATTAAAATGTCTCTAAACTAAAAATCGCGTCTGCGTACTGTGAGCAAGGAAATTGTTCAGCATTTCATCCTCTCTTTTACAGGCTATAATTCAAAATTGTATCTTAGCATGACACTGTGTTAGGACGGCGAAAAAAAAAAAAAAATCGTGTCAGAAACCAAATGATAACGAGTTTAATTGAACATTTGGATTAAAATATTTCAGATAATGAAAATCTGACCTGTATACAGTATGCGAGGGAATTGTTCAGCATTTCATCTTATTTGTAATAATCTATTATTCAAAATTGTTTCTTAAGGCGATGCCGTGTTAGAGAGGCGAAAAGGAAAAAACAGTGTCGAAAACCAAACGATAAAATATCTCAGAAACTAATAATCGGACCAGTATACAGTAAGCAAGGGTAACGTTCAGCATTTCATCCTATTTAGAATGAGGTATTATTTATAATTTAAATTTCATATTATTAATATAGCCTTGTTGATGTATTCACTTCTATCGTGTGGTCTAAAGCACACATCTCAGTTTTTTTATATATACCTCTAAAAATAATATAAAGTATATGAAAACTTGGAAGACTTTTAGTTGCGTTTTAAAACATTTTTTATCCCTACTGCAGAATAATCTTTTAGCGAATGGTAAATAAGTGTTATTAAATAAATTGTATTAATATGCCAACATTGAGAATTTTATTTGTTTTAAATCATTAGTCGCTTATTTACTACTAACTTTTATTTTTTATTAGGGATTTTCCTGTTACTTCCACATCATTTGTCCATTGAGGGAAGCTCCAATTCATGTGATCACCAGCTGGAATAGAATTAAACAAAAAATACAGAATAATTTACTTTCGGATAATACTGATGAAAGTCGTGAATTGAGAGACTTAGTATTTTTTCAAGATTCTGGGAACAGTTCAGAAGAAGATGATCTTCCTGTGCAAAAGCCTCATTCAGGTACGTAATGAATTACAAAAGTTAATTTAATTGTCCAGTAACATAACCACTTTGCCTTCATGCTATTTATTAAAATATAGATATGTCTTATTCATGATAATACCATTAAATTAATTATTATATCAGCAAAAACAGTTCTTTCATCTTTTTCTTTCAATATCTTTAAAGTATACCCTCCCTAAACTGCTATTACAGAATTAATACAATACTGGATACTTTGCTTAGTAAAACATCAATACATTAAGACACATGTTAATGTTACAATAGAAAAACATGGAATTTTATTGAAAAAAAAAATTATAAACTAAGGTGATTATAATAATTCATTTCAAAAATTATGTCTTTCAAGATATTTATCAAATATCTTAAACGCTCAACTAAGAATTAATAAACACATTTTGTTGACCAGTAATGAGGTATGAAGTATGTTTTAACTATTTTAGGTGAGACTTATGTTTTTGGATGTACAATCAAGTCATCGCTGTTGCGTCATGATATTACAGAAACTTCAACTTTAATAATTGTTGAGCCATAGGAAAGGTAAGTTTTAAGACAATTATAAGTTGACTTTGAAAAAATAAACGTCCGCTTTTAATAACTACTAAAAACTTTAAATTCCTCAAGTAATTTTTAAATTTAAAAACTTTCTTTTTTTCTAAAAAAAATACAACAAAAAATTAGAAGTAATTCAATGAGTGGTGAATTTTAAAGAGTAGGGAAAAAACAAAGGAGCAGTTAGGTATTAACAATCGCTTAGATTGTTTTCCTTACAGGAACTTAACTCAAATGAGTCTGATGAATTTTAAACACAAGTATTGATTAAGTATTAATAATCAAGTCCTGTCTTAGGTCCTTCAGAAAGTAATATTAAATAGAATTGTATCAGTTTCTATTTTAAATCCAGATCCTATTTTTGTGGTAGGACAGATATCTGGATTGGGCCAAATCTGATACATAAGGAGCATTAAGGTCATTATGGATAATTTTATTTGTAACAAAGTAAGGAGCATTGAGGATTTTGGATTGTAAGAATTGTATGCGAGAGGAATTTGAAGGTTTGGTGGAGCCCCATAGCTCAACTCCGTAAGTCCAAATAGGCCTTATTATAGTCATGTAAATGAGTCTTTTATAATTGATTGGAAGGTTAGAGGCGTTTGTCTAGTAAGTGTTGAAGTAGTCGGAAACGTCGAGCTGTTTCTTGTCGTTTCAGTCTGGTATGAGGATTCCAAGTTAGACGTTTGTCCAGATGGAGTCCTAGGAAGTAAAATATAAGTGAACACAATAACAATTTAATAACAAATTAATTATTAATATGAAAAGAATGTTGACTAAGGATCCATCTCAAGATTGTCCTAATAAAACATCTTAGAAATACAAAATGAAGCTGTTCAATTACTCCTAGACCAATAAGCAGCTGATATCTCTTTCTAAAACCTTGTACAGTTTTAGAAAAATTCGAGTTTAAAATCAATGATTTGGTATAAAATGCCTTTTAAGAATTTATTTTCTTACAGTCCCTGAACTTTTGTTTATAGGGAAAAAAAAAACGAAAATTATTTATAGTATTATTTTATTGTAACAAAGGAATAGATTTTGATTAATATTGTAAGGTTACATACAAATCATACTTTATTTTGCCACAAAAATTTGGAACTGCATGTTTTATTAACCTATATGCATATGGAGTATGTGTATTGTCATTATGTCCTTTTAAATGAAACTAAGCTCTATGTTAGTTTTAATCAAAAAAATATTCTAACCTAAGAGGTCAGGAAGAGGATCAGTTCTCTAATCTTACTAGTTAATAGGAAACTCCGCATCTGGTTGGATCATTTTCCAGATCTGAGTCATTCAGTATAGGGTAAAAAGGTAAACAAAATGAGAAGATCAAATAACATGGTTGGTTTATTAATTTGGGCAGGGTATAAGGTGTTTTCTCTTTCAGGAAACAACCAGGGAAGAAAATGTTATAAAAAAAAAGTGCTTCGTTATCTACTTTTAGCCAGAGAGATAGTGAGTCAATAGGAACAGTGAGTCCATTATAGTTTCTTAAATTTCTCTTGTGATTGGTTAGTTTTTCTCCTTACTCAAAGCTTAATATCCCTTTAAATATTATCTCTTACCTAAATCGAAACAAAATCAGCAGAAGATCCAGAAATCGTTTTAAAGGGCCAAAAAAAAAAAATATATATATATATATATATATGGTTCTATATATATATATATATAATGAGTAACATATGTGAGAAATAAGTTGCAGGCCTTCATCATGGCTGAGGAAAGGCAAGATAACTACAAATTATTTAGCAACTGTGGTAAAAAGATATACGAACAAAATGTATGCTATATGCTAATAAATAATATTTTTTTATTCAGTCCTGATGAAGGCCTAAAACTTATACCGAAACGTTGGAACAAAATGAAATAATTTTTTTCTATTTTTATTTATGTATTCTCTCTCACTACAATCCCCAAATAACTTCCCATCCATATTGTTTCCCATTTCTTCACCATTATATTTCTTTTAAATGTAAATATGTAGAAAACGTATCAAAAATGATACCTATACTACATATATAATACACATCTTATAAGTACTTATATATTACTACATTGACATTGACTACGGCTGCGTAGTATATGGTGGCCTCTCATCGGAACTTGGAGACAGACTGAAAAGAATAATGAATGGCTTAGTACGATTTGTCAATGGGACCCCGAGAGGTTCTCATGTTTCCCACTACTACACCGAGTTAGGGTGGCTCTTTCCCTCCTTCAGAAGACAGTATTTCCTAGGTACATTCCTTTACCAAATAATCTATAATCATCGTCTGTCCTACGCATTCAATCTCCTTCAATTCAAGTCATCTATCCACTCCCTCCCCACAAGATCTCGTCCTTCAGACCTTTATACACCTTTTCACAAATCGGCCTCATTTCAACACTCCTTTATTGTCCACTCCACCATATTTTGGAATTCCATCCCACTTAAAATCCACCATGCACCATCCTTATCCACATTTTGAAACCCTCTTATTCCAATTCCTCCTTACAATTCAGTCAGACGCTGGTTAGCCATTTATAATGTATATTATATATGTATATAATCTCCCCTATATGTATATTATCTTTTCTTTTCTCCAATCAATCAACATCATAGGATTTAGATTATATAGAACTTGTATAATGTTTACAATACTATTATTATAGTCTTCGAACATACTAAGATACATATGTAAATCATTTAAAGTAAATATTTATCCACTCTTTTATTATTATTTTTTTTCATTAATACAATGGCATGACAACAAAAGTTATTTGTTGCTCATTTATATTATATTTATATATTCCATAGCTTATTGTTTATAGCAACTATTTTTCAGTATAGACCTTATTGCTCATATTATGTCTTTACTATATCTTTACAGTTATGTAAATACTTCTTTTATCTCTTATTATTATTTTTTTTTTATTTATTGCAATATGCATTTTGGCCAGTTGTAATGTTAATTTTATGTACAATATTGTTATTCTCAAGGAACTTTGTCCCAGAATTAAGTTGATTCTTCTATTCTATTATAAAAAAAAAAAAAAAAAAAAAAAAATGGTCGAAAAGAAGACATTGCAGATGGAATAATCTAAAATTTGGATTGTTCCTTATAGGTTATATACCACAATTTTAAAAATTATTAAACATTTTATTTGGATCTTGCAGCATTTTATCGTGTTTCCATTTAAATAACTATTCATTTAATTTTAAAACCAATATCTACTGCCTGATTAAGGATAAAAATATATTATAATAATATTTATTGTTATAAAATAATACACATACACCTATGAATAATATATGTATTTATTATTTATTGTTTACCTTGTTTGTATAACATCATTTATCATTTAAAATGTCACCATGCATGGCTAAATTAAAATAATTAGATTAATATTAAAATAAACAGCAATTCATCATTTACAAGGAAAAATAATGAATAAAAACCATATAATAAATTATTTGTATTTTCCTTCAAGTACTCTAAAGAATCAGGAGCTGACAAGAAAACATATATCAGGCCAGAGGAGAAATTTAAATTAAAATGTCACAAATAGATATTAATAAATTTTAAATTGTAAATATTTTTTTGATAAGAAATTGAGAGTGTTCTATTATTATTGTTGTTGTACCTTTGATTAATTATAAATATATTTTTTATTTTATATTCTCTGTATACTATTGTATCTATTCTTATTCTTAAAAGAGAAAATTATAAATTTCTTTACTTAAAATAAAATATTTCAACTCAATAAATCCATACAATTTCATTGACTGTGTTTATTACTAACATTTTTTTATTTCCCTGCATCCTATTTTCACTTTATAAATTTTTATCCATCATTCTTCTCTTATTATTTTATTTTATTTTTTTTTACGAGTTGCAATTACTGGAGTGTTCTATATATTATGACTGCTGGGTTTGTAAATGAGAGCTTTGAGATACTTTTAAGTTTGATATTCGTTGTACACCTAATTTGATTACATCTAAAGCCGCTAATGACCCAATCGGGTAGATGCGGAATGTAACAATAAATAAATAAAAATAAGTTTGATATTATAATCAACTGCTCAAAACATATTTTAGTAATTGATGAGGATATTTAATTAAATCTAATAATCAAGAGAAAATAGAAACATTCATGAAATTCAATCAAAGTTTTAAAAATTTTATATTTCAAATAGGCACAATGCATTTTATAAGGATAAAAACACAATATACATTACAAATAAATAAATAATAAATATATTTTTGACTTGCAAGACACTGATCAAATACAAAACTAAATATTTTAAATTACTAAAATAAGGAGAAAGTATTTTATATAAAATATTTATAATAAAATATTGTTCAATCTAACCGCAGAAGGAACATTTCTTTTTACAAAAAAAAAAATATCACAATTCTTGTAAATCTACACACTATCCTTGAAGTGGCATACTTATTTTTGTGATATCATTTGATATTAAAAGAATACTCAATGTTATCCAGATTTATCTCGAAACAATTTTAATCTAAAACTGTGTGTTTATTTCCTCAGTCAATAAATACATTACTTCTTTTTTAATTTAATAATATAAATAAAGTATGTCAATTCAAGATACTGTTATAATTAGTTTCAGTCTCGAGACAAGCTTGGTTGAATTTCTTAAAAAATAACTTATTCAAACAGTAATATTAATAATAGTTTGACGAACAATCTCAAAACCTTAACAAAGACGAAACAAGAAATCTAAACAAACTATCCATGAAAATTAAACAGTAAAACATGTCATAAGTGATTAATAATTTTATAATTAATTCACTACAGCATACTCAAGTGCTAAATAGTGTCCCTTAAAGTGATCAACTAATATCACACGATGCTATATGTAGTATTGATACTGAAAATTGGAAAACAAATTTACCAATTCATTGGTATCCACAATTCTTTTTATTTTATCTGCTTAAGTGTATGGAATGTGACAAAAAATTATTGCTTATTTCTGTGATGCTTTTACAATGAAAAAGAATATAGATGTATATAACATAATAAATTTTAATATTAAATATAAAGGTAACTGGCATTATCTTATTCTTTTACAATCCAAAATCTGGAAGATATATTAAATAATCCTATGACATAATGAAATGTAGGGCCAAATATCATGACATATAATACAACAATTTGAAGTTAGTAATGAACAAAACTTTCCTAAAAAATAAATAATTGTGAGATGAATCAAGAAAAAAAAAAAAAAAGATCAATAACAATAACTTGTAATTTTCATATAAATAATGTACTCAACTCTTTCAGTGCCATTATTCAATTCAGTCAAGATTTTTGACCAGCCCGGTGTTCAGACATTTTCAGGTCATAATCCCAGAGTATGAAGGAAACTTTGAAATAATATAATGTATGCATTAAATAAAAAATTACATCACTTCATATTTTCCTTGAAGGCTCCTAAATTTTTATTTCTGAAATTTGGTATTTCAAATTGTTTTAATTTGTATTTTATTTGATGTAATAGATCGAATGTGCCACAATAATATTTCTAATTAACTAAAGAAACCTCAATAAAATAGCTGTCACACAACTTATTCTCATGCAAAAACAATGATTATATATATAATATCTCTCTCTCTCTCTTTATATATATATATATATGTACGTATATATATATATATATATATATATATATATATATATATATATATATATATATAGAGAGAGAGAGAGAGAGAGAGAGTTAAAATTTTGCAAAGGTGATAAAATAAAATAAAAATGATGTCAAGCAAATAAGAAAAAAAATACTACAATATTCAATTTCCTAAATTAACAACAAAACTTTGTAAATAATTGGTAATTAACTAAGAGACCAACAGTTTTAGAACAACCAGAGATATACAGGTACGGAGAAGTAATAAGTACATTTAAATAATAATTATTTAGACATTGCAATAATTTTCATTCTATTTTATAGATCTATTGATTGTATCCAATATGATGAAATAAAATAAATAAATTGATGATAGCTACTAGATTGCTGCGATGTGATGTTTGTAATAAATATTTTGAGAAGGGCAAATTTTAAAATTTTTATTAACATTGTTGAGACATTTCAAAAGATACCAAATTTTCAGAAATTCAAAATAGTCTAATAGAATTTAATTTTTTTTTTTTAATTCCCAGACCTTAAAATACAAGACACTGAATGAGTTAAAAAATATAATAAAATTAAAAAATACATAATAGAATAATACGTAACAAACATACATATGATTAAATAATATAAAACAAGACTAGATTTTAGGGTTTATAAAAGGCCTCCTAATACAGTTCGTGAACTTATACATTTCAATAGAAGATAGGATGAATATTAATAACAAAAAAGGACATAAATATCATTGACTACAAAACAAGTATATAAAACAGTAAAGGAGGAATTTCCTTATGTTAAGCTTAACAATGGTTGCTTAAAATTGTATTAATATTATCATTAGTAGTCAGTTTCTAGTTCCTATTACTATTATAAATAAGTCTGAATCTCCTAAACAAAATAGATCACAGCACAATTTGAAACATAAAAATAAAAAGGTCTATTAAAGATATGTTTTATAGTCCATTTCCTTTGTCTAATTTAATTTTCTATTAAGAAGTGACTAAAATGTTGAGAAAGAATTATATTTCAACAATCTGTTGCCCATAACTCAAAAAAACAAAAAATTTATAAACGAAAAATGAGCATTTTTTATTTATCATCCAAAAGAGGGTCTGGCTTAGATTAAGCGAAGAAGATGCAGACTGTCAAATAAATAAATCTTCACATACAATTTTGATTCCGCATAATTCTATTCAGCATACTATTCAGTTATATTCTGTTTTAATCTTCCTTGACTGGAGGCTTGTTTGCACTCGGAAGAATAATCGGAGGATGAAATTTTTCTTTACTTTCTTTTAGAACTGCAATAAAATTTCTAACCCTAAAAAATAACATTAACATTAATAGTATTAACATTCCGTAGAATCATGTTAGTTATAAATTGAATCTTTCAAGTTACGAAGAGAAAAACTGATATGTTCCACTTATCCATTAATTGTGGAAGCAAACTTAATAAGTGTGAAATTATTGTGTTTAAATAATATACAGAACTATGCAGGTAGGTCACCTTAGCTAAAACTAGTGTAAATACTATGCGATAATAGTGACCTCTGTCTTCCCTACCAGAGCGTCAACCAGCTGAAATACAAGTGTGCTAAAAGAGTGAACCGTTGGGGTAAAGGATAAGCTATCATTTTGCACATAGCTTAAAACATACAGCCCAACAAAGGTGAAAAAATTATTTTGAAAACTCTGTACACTATCATTCAATCTCATATTCACAAATGGGCAAAAACATGTCATCATGTAGTCTCTTGCATACAATACAGGTGCATTGTTTTGTTGACTCTGAAGCTGGATTTTTGATGGATACTTTACTATCTTCATCAAAGTATAAATATGAAGAGGCAGATGGTTAAAAAGCACATGTTTATCATTCACCAGGAGTTATTCACAGACACTGAGCAAGTACCATAGCACATAAACACTTTAAAAACTAAATTCCTTAAATCATATAATCAGAACCTTACTGTTAAATGATGTATCACATTATATGATTATACTATTTTAAGTATCTGCCATTGGCTGGAATTCTAACAGAGTTCTTCAAAATATCAAGTCTGAAAGGTTATACTAAAATGATTATAACCAATGCCAGTAAGATGGTATTTAGTTCTGTTAAAATACATCATTGATACAAATGCTAACAATCGAATATGAAATATTTTCAATCGTGCACTCTAGCAAATATAATTAAATATTCTTAAAGAGCGAACAGGAAATTTTCAAACATTCATAAAAGCACATATTGGTTTAGAAATTAAAACATCCTTGTTGTTTGGGCTGAATAGATAATGATATTAGAGTGGTGATTTTCATTTTCAGTCGGAGCTGCCTACCACAGCAACTAGATACCGCCTACCACATGTAATGCATCAACAGTTATATAGTTTAAATCCCTCTTTATCAATCACCTTTTCCTAGTTTAGGCTGATTAATACCATTATGTATTGTATTAAATATTCTTTAATTTCAAAAGTTATTTACTGGTTTTTTTTTTTTTTTTTTTTTGTTGAATTGTATCTTACTGTATATTATATTTTTACAAAAAAATTTCCATATACTCATTGTACTAATGGATTACACTCAAACTGCTTTCAATATTATGAGATGGCATAGTTCACTTGTTTTAGGAGTTTGAATAATAACATAAGGTATATGATAACAAAGAATAACTTAATATCATACATACCATATTTTATCAAATAAAAATAATATGGAAATTGAATTGATTTTAAAATAGACAACTAGAAAAATCAAAAGTTAATTACACTTAGCGTTTCTTTTTTTTTTTTTTAATAATCTATTTATTGAATAATAATACAATCAGCCACTGCTGGAGGGCTATAAGTATTAGGGCTAAGAGTTCTCATTCATACAATATATACAAATAATAGAGAAATAAATATAAATATAAAAAGTAAATAAATAATACTGATGAAGAAAGTAAATAAAAGAAAAAAAAAGTAAACAAATAACATAAAATAGAAATTTCTAAACACAATCATACCTATATACACACTTAGTGGTAGAATAAGAAATGGAGTTTTAAAGAAAATTATAAACTAATTATTAATAAACACGCACAATCACACATTCCCTCAAAAACAAGAAGAATATAAAACAATATTGCTTCGCAAGAACTGCAATATTGTAAAATTTAAATATTGTCCCTAATTCAGGGGAAAAAAAGGACTGATATTTTGAAGCTTAATAATCACTTCATAACCGCAAGTTAAAACTTGAATATTATTTAAATATATGTTTGTTTCCTCCTGTTAATCATTTATGGTTATTTACTAAAAAATATTTTTGTATCACCAATATGTTTAATTAAAAATTAGTGTTAATTGCTAGTTATAGATTAAAGTAATTTTTTAGTACTATTTCTGTAGTCCGTCGATGTCACATCCGCAGTCCTGATGGTTACTGTTAATCGAATTTTTACTGTATTTGAATTCTGCTTTCAAAAGGAAAATAATATACCTTCCAATTTCTTTAAGTCTCATATAAAGGAAACATTCTTAATTACTATAAATTATAAAACATTCAGAAATTGGCTCTCCATCTTGTAAACCTGGTATTTTGGACATGTAACATTTTTTCTGTCTTAAACTGATATATAAAGCATATATCTTCATGTTTGAGGATATGCAAAATTGACTTGACTACAATTAAATATCTATAAATATGATTGAAAACACATACCTGTTGTAAAATTCTTTACACACCGGTGCAGTCAATAGATTTATGAGGCAAAGTGATGTAACTCCAGCAAATATAATATTATAAGTGAATACTATTTTGAAATTACCCAACCATTCGATGTTACCAAAATGGCCAAGTAAATCAACATTTGTGATACCTAAAAATAATAAATAAAAATTATTAATAAACATAGTTGCAAACGATAGGGATACATGTTCAATTATCTAATTATTATACAAGAGTATATGTAAGGGTTTCATGCATTTAAAGCACAATTTATTTGTCTGCAGTAAAAAGGTGCAAACTAATTCTTTATAACACAAAACAATTTTATATACATTCGTTTATACAAATTTACAACTTATAATTGAAGGGAGTTTGTGTTTGTGATGAAATGAAACAAACTTGATATTTCACACATAAACTGTGTTGACTATGTAAGAACAAATAATTTGGAAACCGCCATGCCAAAATTGACTTATTAGAAAAAAAATCATAATACTAGGAGAGATGAAATATGTACCAGATCAATCAGCAATAATGCCAACTTCACTGATCAAAAGCCATCCAACTGCTCTTAAGATTGTCAGACAATTTAAAAAAATTTGCTTCAACATTTACCTTTTTATTAATTATACAATGTATTAGTCCGTGGTACAGACTCCTTTTTATCAAATTATTAACATCTGGCTGAACTTTTGTAAATACCTTCATATCATCGTAACCTACAAATATTTTATTTACAAAAACTCTTGGATTTGGGGTGTTTTCAATCTGGAGGTCGGCAAACTTTGTCTGTTTAATTAAGTATTAAAAACTCGAAAATACCCATTTGCTTTTCTCTTGAATCGTAAGATAACCTGAGCACAAAATTGAGAAAAAAGGTGACCTTCAAAAATATTTATATGGGCCAAACGGTCCAATATTTTCGTAGGCCACCTTTTTTATCGACTTTGTGATCAAATTATTGCACGATCCAAGCGGAAAGCAAATAGGTATTTATGAGGTTTTAGTGCCTAATAAACAGACAAAGTTTGCTGACGTCTAGATTGAAAACGCCCCAATCCCGAGAATTTTCGTAAATAAAATATTTGTAGGTTACACTGAGATGAAACTATTTACGAAGTTTCAGCCGGATGTTAATAATTTGATAAAAAGGGGTCTGTACCAAGGAATATATGTATAAGTAATTTTCACAATTTAATGAAGGCTAAACGTCATAAGTGCCAAACACTGCCCAACACTCATGAAACTGTAATTTCCAGACATGGAAGACTGTCTTCACTTTTCTTTTTAAGAAGAAACTTTTGAGAACCAAGGTTGCATTGATCTGGCCAAACTGTCAACTTTCTGCCAATAACAAAGGCTTCAGAGTACGAGAAATTGTCTGTTTTCTAGAGGAAAAGTCATTCTTAATAAGTACACATATGCCTTCCTTATAAAGTTCATTTCTTAATGCCTTGTATAGATTTTGTCTTTCTCTTAGTGTCTTGAATACAGTGAAGTTTCTTAAAACTTGCCCTGCAGTTTAACATATTACAATAGATCGTTTCAACTCAGACTTGACATTTCGATTTTTTAGTAAACACCTCATTTATTTAAATTTTGCAAAAACTCAACGTATAACTTTAAAGCATCCAAACATCATATCAAGGTTGTCACAGTAAAGAGTGTATGGATAGTAATTAAAAACAATATTTAATTAAAATTATGTAAAGATTTAGTAGAGGAAAAATTTTTTTTGTACAAATACCTTATTTTTAAACAACTTGCAGAACCTCAAGATATAAATATAGGACAACAAAATTTAATGTTTTTGTTGACCTAAAAAAGCAACTATTGAATGCTATTAGAAATTTATCTGCTGAAAAACGTGTTCTTTATTCCACTCTAATAATAGCATGTGTTATGTTGAAGAATCACGATGAATCCTTGATCAGCTTTCATAGGAGCTATCACTGAACATTCTTTTGTATTTTTCCAGAGATATCAGTAAATGATTAATGTCTGGGGGATAAATAGTCAGGAAGCAGTCAGTTTTTTTAAGATTTTTAGTGCCAACGTTTTATCCCAAGCTTGTGGGTCATCATCAGCGCATTGAGTTTTCGGAGTACTTGAACATCTTAAGTGCTAGTAACATGCCCTTATGATGACCCAAAAACTAGAGTTGAAACGTTGGCAACAATAAAAATATTAAAAACTGACTGCATCTTGACTAACTATCACCCATGATATGTAGAACATTCAATTAACTTCCTTCACTAATGATTAACACTTTAATGGCTGCAAGTATACACAGTCAAATTGTTGCCAGGGGCTGGCAATATTTTTGAAGAATTAATTTAAACAAATTTTATCAATAACCAATAACTCTCGGCAGTAGCATCACACACATGTTGTGTGAGATGACGCTAATGGTTGGTGCGGCCATCACACGCACGTTGTGGGAGCGGCCACTAAAATGTTAATGGTAGATTTGAAATCTTCAATGGTGCTTCTCACCTCACAACCTCGGTCAAGTTCTTGTCCGTATTTCCTACTGAATACTATATTATTCATAATACTATATGTATCCACAGTTGAATTTTTAGAATCCACTATAGAGAACCCATTTCATTTAGCAAAAATATTTCCGAATGACTTCAACAGCAGCACACTACTGTTTGTCTAGCAGAGAAATCTGCATACAAAATTTAAATTAAAGATCAACATGTTGAAAAATGTGCTTTGCTTGTATAATCTTTTTCCATTGTTGAAACATTTTATGGTGAAAATAGTAGTCAGTACAAAAAATTCAAATCTGACATTTTATTTTTGTTTTGCTCAACCTTACAAATATTAAAACCTGAAAAACAAAACAAGACCAAGTTAGTTCCATAAAATAATAAATTACCTAAGATTCTGCACAAAAGCGGAAGTGCTGAACTGAGAATTAGGAGAAGTGCGCAGTTAGCTATTAATAGTGAGAGAGGAGTCCTGTGAGCCCTTGGTCGGATCTTGGCCAGGAAGGGGAAAGTATACAGGCCGACCAAAGATGCTACAGCTAAGTACACTATAACTACCACTTCGATACTTGCTCCTAATGAGCCTAACTTTGATAGAGATGTCAATCCCAATGTGAATTGCTGAAAAAATAAAATAAAATAAATGATAAAGGTGAAGGAATATGTACATTTATACTTAGATTAATAACAACTTAAAAAATAAATAGGAAATTAAAAAAAAAAAAAAAATTGTGTCATTCCATTACACTACTTAAAGGTATTTACACGATAAGTTTAATTTATGTTTTTTACAACATGCAAATACAACAAATATTTAAATTCAATAAAAATTTTTACAAAATGGACGCTTTGCCGAAGGGCTCTTCATTAACCCCACTGAGTGCTGAGCTGTTTATGGACAGTCAAGAAAACAACATATTCGCTATGAAAGTTTTTAAAACACATGTTAGACGCTGATCCAGATATGCTGATGATGTTTTCTATGTATGGGAAGGGAAGATAGACAAATTAAATAATTCTTCTGTTCATTTATCCTAATTTTGCTGTCTTGAGGTTTTATTTTTTACATAAATTAGGCCAATTATCAGCAATATTTTATTGATACGCTATTAAATTCGACGTTTTGACCATACTAAGGGTCATTTTCAAGTCTTGATGAGTCCTCCGTTATATATTCATCATTAATGTCGCAAATAATTTGTTCAGTGAACATGTTAGTCCCTCTAGGACTAGTACCTCTAGAAATGACGTAGGCGAAACCTCTTTAGAGCATAACAATTTAATGTTCACTCAACAAATTATTTGCGACATTAATGATGAATATATAACGGAGGACTCATCAAGACTTGAAAATGACCTTTAGTATGGTCGAAACGTCGAATTTAATAACGCATAAATAAAATGTTGGTGATAATTGGGCTAATTTATGTAAAAAATAAAACAAATTAAATAAATTCGTTACAGATATCAATAATATACATCCCAATATAAAATTCACAATAGAAATAGGTCCAAATAAAATTAACTTCCTTGATTTGACCATTTCAATTGACAATAATTCATTAACATTTGACATTTACAGACATAATAATACCATTGTACTTGTGCCACCCTTGGTCACAAAAACTCAGCACTTTTTACTGGTTAGCTAATAGGTTACAAAAAATACCTCTATCCTTCAACAAAATTAACAAAGACAAGACAATAATTTTTCAAAATTGCAACAAATAATGGGTATCCCACAGAAATTATTGAAAAAATATTAAGAAAAACTGAAAGACAAAAATTTGAATACGCAACTTTAACAGTCTACAATATAATAATATTAATGAATTAAGAACAAGTATATATATGGGTCCTGATACTTATAAAATTAATATGAGAAGGAGTTAGTCGAGGGTGCGGTCAAATAAATAAAAAAATTAAAATATATAAATTATTTTAATTTTTGCCGACGTTTCGACCCACTTTGCAGGTTGTCTTCAGGGATACAAAAGATTACCGCTACAAAAATACCGCTTTCAAAAAACTAAATGTCAATTGTCATCTATATATAGTACAACCTGTTTTTTGTTTCTTTATCATCATAACCTTGTTTTTACATTTATTCTTACATTTTAAAGTATTCTTTTAAAATTATTGTTTTCTTATAGAGTTATTTATACTTAATAATCTATCCCAACAATATTACACTAATGTTACCCTATTAATCTTTCAATTTCTTCACTTCTTAACCTTTAGTCCAGTTATCTGTTTATTTACAATTAAAGGTAACCTCCACTTGCTTGTTATCCACTGATATCTTATTATTATGTTATCTTATCCATATTTTAACTTTACTGTAACAATAGTTATTCAATTTTCAATCTATTTATTCGTTAACATTCATTTATTCGTTAACATTCATGTATTTATTTTCTTTTATCTATTTTCTTATCATGTATTTATTTTCTTTATCTTTTATTTCTGTATCTGACAACTTCTTCATATTTTATATATACTTATATTTATTTTTATTTTTTCAACATGTTTGTATCTTTTGTAGCCCTGAAGACGACCTGCAAAGTGGGTCGAAACGTCGGCAAAAATTTAAATAATTTATATATTTTAATTTTTTTATTTATTTGACCGCACCCTCGACTAACTCCTCATATTATATTAACGGTCAACCATCTCTACATCATTATAAAATTAATAGTATTTTGAAAACAGACAAAAACATTGTGGCCAATAAACCTTTTACAAGTTTAAAATACATGGTCTCCAGGACTAAAGATCGAGTTGATCCTTTAAATAAGAGTGGGGTCTACTCGATAGAATGTTCATGTTATGTCGTTTATATCGGACAGACGGGAAGAAAACTAAAAAGCAGAATTAAAGAACACCTCCCTGGGTCAGGCCATGCATCACATTTCAAAGATAGTTTTTTAAATTGTTCACACCCACAAAAAAGTAATAAGGTAAAACTGTAGTATACCATTTCAAAAGGGAAAAGATTGGACTTTTTTGAAAAATTAGAAATTAAGAAAAGAATTATAAAAAAAATGATGCCATATGCCTAAATGTACTAAGTACTCAATTTAAGGATTCTACACTCATAAAATTAGTGGATAGTCCATCTGGTCAATAATTTTATTTTTATTTTTAGTCCGCATTTGACAAGCAGGAGAGGTTGTCCTAACCATAAGTTAGGTGATTATCATTTTTATTAAATAATTTATAAAGATTGGATTTTAAATTAGGTTTTATTATTATTTACAAAAGTTTTTATTGTTGTTAATTTTATTATTTCACCTAGCTCGATGAAGGTCTGATAAAAGACAGAAACCAGTTGCGCAAAAGAGGGAAAAATAAAGAATATACAGGAAGACGTCTTTTTTATTAAATTAAATTTCAATCCTGCAACATCAAGCCACAATTAAAGAATAAATATTTTGTCAGGATTCAATGAATATGAATAATACATTATTATTACTGCACGGTAATTTGATAACAATTCTTAAACTCCACTAAACAAGATAGTTTTTGGGCCATCATCCTATGCTAAACACTCAAATAGTTCTATTATTATTGTTACTGCACGGTAATTTGATAACAATTCTTAAACTCCACTAAACAAGATAGTTTTTGGGCCATCATCCTATGCTAAACACTCAAATAGTTCTATTATTATTGTTACTGCACGGTAATTTGATAACAATTCTTAAACTCCACTAAACAAGATAGTTTTGGGGCCATCATCCTATCCTAGACACTCAAATAGTTCTATACATATGAGTAAAACTTACCTGCAGCAGTTTATGTTACTCAATTTAGTTTTTGCTACAATTTACCAAAGCAGCCTGGTACAGAATGTATTATCAGTTTATTGCAAAAAGTCACTTTGTAGTACATTCGTTTTAAAGCTTAACTTTTAAGTGTGTTTTTGGCCTTATTTATTGATGAAAAAACATTGTTTTGTTTTTTATTTATTTTTAGACTTAACATGCTAACTTTAAACGTAATGGGCATTTTACGTCTTTTTAATTTAATTTTATTCCTCTTATTCACAATCAGAAGATATAATTATATATAATCTTAATTAACAGCATTGATAACTAACAGGTTTTACACCTTTACTATATAACCAACCAACCAATTTAACATTTATTCTTGTCAAATCTTAACTTGTAAGAAGTGAACAAGAGTTAAAGATAAAAAATTAAATTTAATACAAGCCAAGAACATGATAAAATTTTGCATAATTGAGTTAATGACTTTCTTTTGTTGGCGTGTTTACTATACTAATATAATATTATTATAGTAAACACACCTGATTTCCTGACATGCCATTACAATATGAGTAAAAAGTTAGGCTGCATTTCTATAATTCATACCATTACTAATTATGACTGAGTGAAGCAAGCAGGATAAATATATAATGTAATTTTATATAATTTATAATATCTGTTTCAAGAAGATATTAAAAATTTCTATGAGTTTTGTGGTAAATATTATCTCACATTGCTAAATGAATTTAATATATATATATATATATATATATATATATATATATATACAAATTAAATATTGTTGTATTTTTATTTATAATAGTCTCAATTAAAAAATTGTAAAGGAAGCTTCCATGATTTGTAACACTATTTACACATTACCAATATTTAAGAAATTTCTAACTGACATATGATGTTCTACAATAGTGCATAACAGATTCTCAATAGAATATGTTTTACATCTACAGCAGATATATCAAATATTTTCATTAAAATATTCTTACTTGCTAATCAGAGTAACATAAAATAGTTTATCGCGAATATTATATTACATAAACCAGTCATGCTTAAACTGTTTTGATAAGATCTTAAACAAACTGCTGAACATGAGAACGAATTTCTGGAACATTGATAGTAGTATATGAACGAGACATTATACTTAAACGTAATCCTAACGTGAGAAGAAGGAATGGCTGAGCACGTTGGGGTGTAGGTCCCAGAGTGCCAGGTTTTGAATGTTGTGGGTTCGATTTCAACCTGTATCGATTACTTTTCATTTCCCGGCGGCACTGGGAAATGGATCGTGACATTCCTACTATGGTACGTGGCGGCAACCCCAAGGTAGCTGTCAGGAGTTGGCAAAATAGACCACAATAGGGCCTATTTGCTGGACTTGTTCTCCCCACCAGTAGTAATACCAGTATCAGTAATCCTAACTGCACTAATATAATTTGCAAGAAACATCCTTAAATAAAATTGAAAAACACAAGTATTATATCTACTTTATAGAATGTAAACATTTACATAACATGTAAAAGATAATCAACACATTTTTATTCATTATTTTCATATATAATAACATTTGCACGTTATAACTCGTCACTTTAATTTTATACAACACAATGTGGATAAATACAAATTTTATTGTTTAAAATCATATTATTACTTAACGTGTTTAATATAAAAATATAAATATATTTTTGAAAAGTGTTCTTTTTTCATTTACTAGAAACTGAGTCAGAGGACATCATCTAAAAAACTGTTTTAATATAAATAGTGTTATTTGACATTAACACCATGAACAATGTTCATTAAAACAACAACAGTACAAAAATGATTCAAATAATACTCTATTTCAAAGAGGTTGGGCCAATTTATCCAATAAGAATGTTGTTATGTAATTTAAAACCACAAGTTAATATTATTATTTTTGTACCATGCATTAATATATCAAGTAATAAATTAGTAGTGTATAATAGCATCTAGCATAAATAGAATGTATTCATTACTTGGAATACTTCCAACTAATGTATTGTTATTTAAACCCACTTCAAAAACTACACTACTCCAATCTCTTAAATTTAATTAATATGTACATACAAATATTTGTGTACATGCATAATTATTGTGTGATCTATTTTAGATTAAGACATTTTAAAAATATTAATTTTATATATAACAAAAAAGTATTTATAGCATGAAAACATTATATGATCATATCATAAAAATAAATCACCAGTCATTATCAGTACCAGTCATTTAAAAGGCGATAACTCAAATCATAAACTATTTCAGATAATTTAAAAAAAAAAATTTTAAACTGCGATAGTTTTGTGTTTTTTAAAATTAACGAAGATATCATACAATCAACTTTAATATAATTCAACATAGCCTAATGATACTTAATATATTTAGTGTAATGGAGTAAATATTTTAAAAAAATGATATTCATTCAATATAGAACATTGAATTAAATGCCTATTTATTCTTCCTAATTAAATTTTTAAGACAAATTTATATATTTTTAAAAAATTATTCCGACAAAAAAATCATGTAAATAAAACAAGAATTATTTGTTTTGTTTTTTAACAAATTTGAACTGAATTTAACAAATTCACTTTGCCAAGTAATGAAAAATTGTTCTAAGTTATTGATATGTAAAAACAGTGACAAGCAAATTTTATACTCTTGCATTTCACAAAATATAAAACCATGTAATCATAGTTAAAATTCACTAAAGCAATCTGACAACGGCCACTTCAAATCCATAGGAACTCTTCAGAAAGAGCAGGATTTAAAAAATTCAAAATCAGATTCGAGAGTTTTTTGCTTTAAGACTGAATGAATTGTATCATAGTCAAATCTAATTACCGGCAGAAGAGTGGACGAAACTGATAGAAAATAATGGAATACACTTGGAAGAAATATATCCAGGTTATTACGTGTGTTAATTTTTAACTAATATAGTTTAAAGTGCTATTACAATCATAGCAACCTACTTTTATAAATTTAAAAAACTTACTAAGATAAATCTCTTACTTGATAGATAAAAATAAAACTAACCGCTGTGCTTTTGGGAAGAGCTTTAATACCAATCAATAGCTGGAGGGAGTTAACCAGGACAAGAAGTATTGTAATAGCTGTCAATGCAAGTAACGCAAGCATCGCTACAGGATAAACTACATTCCTATGCATACTTGAAGTCGCCCTCTGTTTTTCTGAAAATATAAAACAATAGATAAATTAAGTAAATAGTGTCAAAGAAAATCACTAATATCTAATCAAGAACACTTTAAATATGTAAACAATCATCTGATAAGTTTTTAACAGATTTCATACATTATGTTTCAGTTCAATAGGAAGCTAGTGAATTGTTAGGTTCTGTAAAAAAAAGTAAAACATCAAGATTAAGTATATTTCATGGTCCAACCCTATGTCAAAAACAATTATTAAAAAAAAAAAAAATTGTTCTATTATTATTTATAAATCCTTTCAATTGACATAATTACTTTTATTTAGAGAGGCCAGAAACAGTTACAAGAAATTTTTTTTTTATATAATAATACAAGTAAACTTAAACCAATCTCAATTCATTTTTGTGATTTTGTTTAAGTATGGAATAAGCAGTACCATTTTTTATTGAAGCCCCCAAAACAGAAAAAAATATTTCCTTTTTAATAGTCCATATTTGTCTATGGGTAATTTTGCCTAAATATTTAAACAATTTCAATATGCGCTCTTTTTAATGCATAATGGGTATACTACATACTGTAGGCACATGTCAAGAAAAAAAAATTCCTAAAAGCATCGTTGTTCATGTAGTTACTGTCTTTTTCTCTTAATATCATTTAATTCAAATTACGCACAGAAAAAAATATGGATCAATGAAATAAAAAGTTTTTCTATGTTTTGGTGGCTAGGGACTTCAGTCTAATAAATTGCTTAATAGTGGAGATAAGTAAACATAACATTTTTAAATCTATAACATCATTTATTTCCTTATGTTTGTTTTTTATTTTAATTCTATAATTTTATGATTTAATTATTCCATATTATTCATTTTATACCAGACGATAGTAACTTTAATAGTACATTTCTATTATGCCTAGAGGATTGAGTTAGCCGAAATAAAATTTACTTTTCTTTATTTCTAAGAAAGTACTAAAAAAGGTCTTGGGTAAAGTACTTTTAAGAAGGTATTGCTCAATAGGTTTTCTCAATCTTAGACTCTCAAGTTTGTACTCAATGGCACATCTGGTTCATGTGAAACACATAAAATCTATTGAAATATATAATTTTTATCAATGTTTTTAATTTAAAATGCATATACCTAAAGATATGAGTACAGAGCCGCTCCAATTAAAATAAACTAATCAAACTAAAATGGAACGTCCATCACCAGAGCCAACAAAATATTTAAGCATGTGATACTGACCAACTTTTAAAATTCAGTTTGTAAACAAATCGTAATTTTCAATAAAAAATTAAAATCAAGATAGTTACTAGGGAGTTAAAAAAATAAAAAAACAATAATGCAATTGGTGCTTTTAGGTATATGAGTTTTAAATTAAAAACATTGGTAAAGATATATTCTTAAAAATTATGTATTTCAATAGATTTTATCAATCTTAGACTCTTAAGTTTGTAGTCAATGGTACATCTGATTAATGTGAAACCCATTAAAATCTATTGAAATATATAATTTTTAAGAATACATGTTTTATAAATGTTTTTAATTTAAAATGCATATACCTAAAAGCAACAATTGCAATATTGTTATCCATTGTTTTTTATTTTTTTAACTTTCTGGAAACTATATTAATTTTATGGGGAGTAGACCGGGGTCGATCAAATAAATTTATTTGACATCCCCCAATCAACTCCTTCTCATATTATATCACAGTCAACCATCTCTACATCATTATATTAATTTTAATTATTATTGAAAATTACGATTCGATTACATAATGAATTTTAAAAGTAACTCTTCAGTGATGGATGATTCATTTTATTTTAATGGGAATGGCTCTGTATCCATATCTTTAGGTATATGGATTTTAAATTAAAAACATTGATAAAAGACATATTTTTAAAAATTATATATTTTAGTAGACTTTATGGGTTTTACATAAACCTGATGTATCATTGAGAACAAACTTAGACACTCATTGAGAAAGCAATACGTTTCAAACTATATATAAATCCACAATTATATCTAAAAATAATAAAAATTGTCAAACAAATCCAATCAGGTATACTTAGAATTTGCAACTAACTTAATTTATTTATTTTGGTTATAGATCTGGATTATTTTAATTATATTTATTTAATTTCAATATCTGCTTTATTTAAACAAAGTTTTAAATTGAATATTTTGAAAAGCAGATTATCTTTTTAGATGTTTGTTTTTTTTTTTCTATTTTTGGTTTATTTTTGTTCTCTTGGTTATACTACTTTTTTTCTCCAAAAGTAAGCCTAAAATGTCATTAGAAACGAAAGAATACTGCATGGTTTCTCCCTATCCTTTCATAGACTACTATGGTTTATAACTTCTTTCAATTAATTACAAAACAATATTTATTTTTATGGTGTAATTAATAATAACATTTATATAAACAGAACTAAATTTGTTGTATTTTTTACATATTTAAGAAAAATTCCATTTCAGATTAAAACTATTGTGATTAATAATTTTAAAGTAATAAAAGAAGTATCTCCTCCATCTATGACTAAAAGAAGAGAATTGATATAGACAATTATTTTCCTAAATAAAATATAACAAACAGTTAAAAAATAAAAATGGTTGTTAAACTAACTGAATGTTATTTAATATGAGATAACATGTTACATACACATATGCAATATGTGGTTTATTAAATATTTGATTTTCACAGAATTTATTATATAATTGAAACAGAAGATAAATTTTGAGAAGTTATCCAAATGTGTTAGGTATCCTTAAACAAATAAGTATAAATGGGAGGGGGGAAATATGATAAAAGTAATAAGAATTATGATCAACAGAGAATCAATTTAAAAAAAAAATGTTTAAAGTTAAAGTAAGCATTTTAGTCCAACAGATTGTATATATATGTATATATATATATATATATATATATATATATATATATATATATATATATATATATATATATTATATATATATATATATATATATATATATATATATATTATATATATATTATATATATTATATATATATATATATATATATATATATATATATATATATTATATATAATATATATATATATATATATATATATATATATATATATATATATATATATATATATATATATATATATATATATATATATGCTAATATTCATTATCAAACTTAATTTATTATCAACAGACAAAGGTTTATCATAAATTATTTTTTATAAATTCAAATTATAATTATGAAAAAAATAACAAACCAAGGATTTCTTTTGTCTTTTGAACTTTGTCAAGTTTTTCTTTGAGACCAATTTGAAGAGCTCCGTTCTGAAGTGCCATTATATCAATTGCTTCACCATTATCATGTTTAGGAATGCACATCGGTTCTGGCTTTATATAACTTTTACCAGTTGCCATTACTTGCTTCAATCTGAAAACATATACATATTTATTAGTAGAAATTAATTCATTTACAAGCTTAAAAAAAAAAGATGCCTTCAGCAAACCATAAAAAAGTAAATAAAATCAACAAAGAAAAAAAAATTAACATAAGTACTAAACTAAACAAATCCATATTACAAACACAAAAACAGAAGAAACACTTGTTTTTAGCATGTGTTTATACAATAGAACAATGACAAAGAATAAACAAAAGTCTAACTTCAAATAAACAAAATTTTAAGTAGAATAAATATGGACAGTTTGCTCTACACAGAACAAGAATCATGTCAAACACAAGATATGAATATTTAAAGAACTAGTGTTAATATATATATATATATCTTAAGGCTTGACAGATATATAGTAAGAAATAATATCTCAAATTTCTCAGAACACTTAAATGAGTCAAACATTTATTGTCTTTTATCATTATTTAAAAATAAGTGGTAAAGAGAATCGATGAGGATTTAAAAATTATATTCTTTATATTTATATTATATTCTGAGATTTACAACTGTATAAATTTAAAAATTACATCCAGTAAATGTGCACACAGTAATGCTTGTTGAGATACTACCCATTGGTAGCACTCTAAAATTACAGATTAAGTTTGTTTTTTGTGATGTTTTAATAAGATATATATATATATATATATATATATATATATATATATATATATATATATATATATATATATATATATATATATATATATATATTTAATCAACTCTTTAAGACAAGCTATAAATAAGTACAATACACTTTTTATGATAATCACAATTTATAAATTCATGCTACAATATTTTTAGAAGGAAATTTATATAGTTAATTATTTTTAAAAATTTTCTTTAGCTTCCATAACTGAATGAAATGAAGTTTCAAGGTTTGCACTGAACTCATTGATGCTCTAATGATAAAATTGTTTCATATGTTTGATCAATACAATATTGTACTTCAATTGAATTATACTTGAACAGGACACGTGGATAAAGTAAATATGATCTTCATCTGTGATTTCAATATTTTAAGAGATTCAGTACATATACATACACATTTAAATTTTCATTAAACAGTTTATGAAATATTATATAAAACTATAACTGGTATTATAGTTATTGGTAATGAATTTAGAAGAAATTAGTTTCAAACATTGAGCCATTAAGAATTAAAAAATAGTTATTTTAGCCTTCTTTAAATACGAGTTAACATGAAATAATATCACTTTGAGCCATTATATATCTAGCTGCTGGTTGGTAAATCTTTGCAAATTGACATACAATCATTGGAGATACTGCTAAAATTAGAAAAAATGTAGAAAGTAGAACAGAATACACAGCTTTCACCAACATATATCAGATCCGTCCGTATTAGTTGGATTTTCATAATTTGAATAAACTTGAAATTATTATTACCTGCGTTCTAAAAGCTCTTCTTCCATTACTGTAGCAAAATACTCATCATTAATATTTTGGAGAAATTGCGGTTTCACAAGAAAACGGCTCAAAACACCAAACATTTTAATGAACCCTAAAGGTGTGCATACTGAAAAGAATTGAATAATAAATAAATAGAAAAATTTATATACACTGTAATACTTCAATAAATAAAAACTTTTTTCCCTTACATATCAATAACACTACTCCAATAAATGACATACAGGAATAAAGAAGTGGAAGGTATGATATTCCTAAACCTGGAAACAGAACTACAAATAAATTTGATTCCAAGATTAAAGAACAATAAAAATTATATTATATAATATAACACATTACTAGAAAAAATTTGAAGTCTATAGCCTTCCAAGTTGACCAGCGCTGATATAACGAAGCTTAAGCCTACTGATATCAAAATGAGTAATAGCAAAACAGTACATGTTTCATAAAATCGAGATTTCACTGACTGTAACAAAACGAACAATCGTTAAAACAAATACTTCACTAATTTTATTCATTTATTAAATAGTCAGAGGCATCATACCTTTCTACAGCCGCTTAAACCTTCTGATTCTGTAAACAAATATGAGAACGGGAGCAAACCAAATAGAGAAAGATTTGAAAATAAGAAAACCAAATTCCAGATACCTGAAATAGAATCAAATTAGAATTAGTTTATATTACAGGAACACAATCAATTAAAAAAAGACAAACAAATAAATCATAATAAAATATACCTTGTATCAGAGAATGGTTCAACCATTTTACATAATAGCTTCGAGGATATGACAGTAATACTTCATTGCTGACTATTGAAAAAGGGTGCAATAATACAGCACATATTGCCACAGAAAGGGCGAAAACACTCAAGTGTAAACTGCAAATAGGAATTTAATAAAGGGCTATTTTAAAAAGTAATTAAATAGTCATAAAATATATTATAATAGCTCTAAATATAGCTAGATTGTACATTTATTAAAATTTAAACCACTTACGGAAATAGATTAAAATAATTAAACAGACAAAATGTATGTATCATATTTTAACAGATGAACTGAATAACGGAAATTAATACTTAATAAACATGTATGTTATATTACCATTAGAATCAAACATAAAAGATAAGTGAATCAATATTGGGCTGGTTTCAGTGAATTTGTATTTAAACAGTAGTTTAAAATTTTAAAATCAATTAAGCAAAATTTCCATTAACAAAATATATGTACACATACATCTCTTTTTTTTTTTAATTGCAATGTACTAGGTTAGTTATGGTGATTTTCACTTTTTAATAAGAATTGAAATGAGATTTAAAATCTTTGAGTTGTTCTAAAAAAAAAAAAAAAATGAACATCATCCATATATTTATTTGAACAACTAATTTGAAAAACTTAAATTCAAAGATAAAGTAAATCAGTAACGTATTTTTGTTTTCAATTAATGACTTCATTTCATGACAAACTTCCAGGACATACAAACTTATTCAAAACATGACTACAACACATATACCAGTAAACACCCAAACAGAGGCTGAAAAGGAGCTGGTTAAGTGATCAGGATTAAATTTCATTTTTTTTTTTTTTTTTTTTCTATTTCAAGTTAAGGATAAGTTGCGATGAGTATCAAACTCCTTAATAAATGACATGCTGATTGTATAAATTAACATCTCATCTGCTTATTGTTGCGGGCAAACAGAAAGGTGTGAATAGGAAATTAATAGAAAACAAAAATTGTTATCTTTCATAGGGGATACAATTGACAACATTAATACATAACACCAAAGTCGAAATATTTAAGTATTATAATTATTATTTTTTTAAATGGTACTAACTTCCATTAATATTATTATAAAACAATCATCGACAATCAAATGTTTGTTTTATCACATATTAGTAACCAGATTACCTACTTGTACCAGATTTCATCTCAAGTCATAATTCTTCAATAACACCTTATAATTGAATATCAATAAATATAAATGGTTGTTAGACTATTCCATTTATGTGGACCCTTTACAAGAGTTGTGGTGATAGTCCAAAAAAAAATTTTAAACTATTATCTTGTTGCCAATGAAAAATATTCTCTAAGTGATTCAGTTATTTATATATTATATATATAATATCCATAGACGAAATAAAAATAACGATATATTTAAAACATAAATTGTAGTTAAAAGATTTAGGAACAAAGAAATGTTTGACAGTTATCATTAGGTCAGTTGATAAGCTTACCTAACTTTATAAACAGTAGCTTCATCTTCATCTGTTGAAAAGTAATCTTCAATGTCTTTTCTTCGAAAATAATCAATAATTGTGTAACTTAAAATAAACAGCAGTAGAAATAGTAGGAAATAAATCTAAAAATCGATATCACAAATTAAAAACAATGATGGTAATGATGATTATACTGTTACTTAAAATTAGAAATATTTCTAAATTACTTACGATATACTCCCTAACAGTACTATGAAATAATTTTTCGCGGTCATCATATTCTTCTTCATCATCCATTTTTCACCTATTTTCTAAATAATATTTTAATTTTGAACAATGGGGATGATTCGAGACAGTCCAGAAATGATACCGTGCAGGCATTTTCAATTAAATAAATTTACGTTCATCAAAAGACAAACATATCCATTTTTACGTTTAAAATAAACTGTCAAACATCGACAGGCGAAAGTCCACGACTGTGAGTTGAAATCAAGTTCATCGACCAATGATAGTTTGATTTCCTACGTACCTAATCTACAATTATTATTAAAAACTAATTCAAGATTAAAACTTATACTTTACTCATTTATATTTTAAAACACACAACAATAAAAAATACTTTTCTATAAATTCCTTTTTTTATTTTATTATTAATACATAATATTCAGCCTTCTTTTTTTTTTTTTTTTAACATATTCGTACAATGTGCAATAATATATAATAATCGGGCAGTAAGAAAGAAAAAGTTTATGTGATTTATGGTAATTTTCGTTCTATTGAGTATAATAACAAAATATTGACCGGTGACAAATACCAATTTATTACTCCATTTGCATTCGCCATTAGTCTGTCTTGTTGTTGGCTAGGCGTTGGCTTGTTTGTCTAAGTTTGGGTTTCTAGTTTAGTCTTTTATCTTGGTTAATTAAAATGGTCAAGTCCGAAACTTCTGATGTAAGTTGAATACTTTATAAATCTGTATTTCCTTCAATCTTGGTTTTTATTTAAGCATTTATCAATTAAAATCCATCCCCACGCCAACTACATTTATGGCGTCTAAGAATGCCGGGTTTATTAGTTAACTCTTTGGTTGTTTTCAGGAGCCAGAACATTTTCGCAAGATATTTATTGGTGGCTTAGACTACAGAACCACAGATGAATCATTGCAGAAGCATTTTGAACAATGGGGGAGCATAGTGGATGTTGTGGTAATGAAAGATCCAAAAACCAAGAGGTAGTTACAGTTATTCACTTAAAAGATTTTAGTTATGATCAAGCTTTTGATTTTGAATGCCCAGATGTTTATCTTATGTGTTACATTTAAACAGTTAGCATAGGGTTGTTAATTTTGGGACTGTCTCCAATATTTGCTGTACCCATAAGAGAAATTGAGTTACAAACAATATTATACTATTTCCATAATGTACTTTGCCTGCTTACATGTATCCTTATTTTTTTATTTTGTTCACAATAGCTCTGAAGTTATTAGATAAGAATTTCTTGACATATCTTCTCTTATTCTTAGCTTCAGCTTCTTTTGCATGATCACCATCTGCGCTCTTATCTCTTCTGTATTGAAATGTATACATTAGATTAAGTTATATTTCTTCATTTGATTTTTAAGCTCTGTTACGTTTTTTTCCTAAGAGACTAAATTAATTTTTAGTCTTTAAATTAATTTTAACAATAAATGAATTTATAATTTACAAATAAATCTCAACCACCACATGAGATCACCTAAGATTCAATAGACCTATTTTCATGAATAAATTTCTTGAACAAGTTTCGGGCTATGATATTATAGATAACATATTTTTCTGCTTGGCGTACCAGGAAAGTAATTTTACTTTAGAAACTTTAATATTAAGGTTGTAAATTATAAGCTTAGTCACCAGATTTTTATCTATTCAAGAACTATAACTTTTAGTTTATATTTATGGCTTTTGTCTTGAACTTATTTAGTGGTTCCAAGTTACGACAACAATAATTGGAAGAGCTGTTCCATTTCAGTTACATTAAGAGCTCATTTGAGATTTCATATTTGAAAAAAAAAATATGTATATCATAGTAATATTAAATAATACTATCTGTAAAAAATAGTAAGCAACACATTTTAACTGAGTGTGCTATTTAAAATTATGTGATGAGGTTATGAAAAGCCAGGAAATAATAAATTCCATATTCTAAAATGTCAACCTTTAAAGGTTGAGTTATGCTGTTGGTTTGCTCATTTAAACTAATCTATGATTTCATCTTTAGTGCTACATGTTTATTTGTTTATTTCTTATGTTAGTATTCTGATTTGGAATCATCAAAGTATGGACTGTTTCATTTGAGTAAGCTGATTTGCATATTCTAAAAATTAAGAAATCCACTGCCGAAGCCCATCAGACACTTTTGGAAACTTGGGTTCATTCTGCTCTGTCATATCCCGATTGTCTGTTTTGGTTCCAACAATTTATGAGTGGTGATTTTGATGTCAATGACTGAGGACTAAATAAATTCTAAGAGAATTGATCGAAAGACTTACTAGACAAAAATCCAACTAAAACTCTCAATGAACTTTCAGACAGCTTAGGAGTTGATGGATGATCTGTTTTCAGACCTTTGTGTGTGGTGAGAAAGATTCAAAAGCAGGGATAATGATTACCACATAAATTGACTAAAAATGCTGTTTTGAACTGTTTCAACATCATGGTTTCATTGCTTTGCCAGGCAACAAAAGAAGTTTTGTGTGGCCTATAGCGACTGGCGATGAAAAATGGTTCTTCTGCGACAATCTAAAGTGCAAAAAGCCATAGGTTGATCCAGAGCAGCTATCCAAATCTACACCTAAGCGGAGTATTCATGGCCATGAAGTCTTGTTCATATGGTGGGATCAGGAAGATGTTGTGTATCATGAACTGCTAAAACCGGTTTAAGATGTTAATGCTGCAGATGTTTGGCACACATTTTTGAAATACTGAAGAAGTGCCAAAATGGATTGATAATTGGATTGCTGCCAAAGCGAAATATTCTTTTGACATGGTATTGCAATGTTGACCGAATGATAATAAGAATAAGTTGTAAAAAATGATGGAAAATATTTTGATTAATATATATTATACCAATGTTTCGCTATGTATGCCTTTTTATTGTGATAAAATCTGGTGCGCACAACGTTCACTTAATTCAAACTACTACTTTAAAAAGCATTCTGGCAAAATTGGGCTTTTACAAAAAGTTTTTGAAGCTCATTTTTAATGGAGCTAAACCTTGAACAATATATTTTTGAATTTCATTCATATTTATCAATACATAAGCTCATTAAGACCATCAAAATAACATTAACCCTATTTATTATATCCATTGTAGGTAATTAAAACCTTATAACTGTATCAGTTCATTTGAATCTAATAACTATTTGAATCTAATAACTCTTGTCTCTGAGCTCCATAAACAAAGAGATTTGAAAATTATAGGATTTAAATCTCTGTAATTTTTTTTACTATATTTAAATTCTTGTTTTACCCTAAAAAAATTTTACAAAAAAACTTGTTTTTTTAATATAGCATGATAATTCAAAAGTTTTTTTTTAATAAATCAACAATATATACTTAATTTTTAAAATATAACATCGTATCTAGAGTTATTAAACTACAGTAAATTTATTTAAGATTATAGACATATGTTTTACACATCCATGAAATATCTTTTTATTTCACACAAGTACAATGATATAGTTTTTTTAATGATGCCATTGTCTTGATTCAGTGGATTTTATACCCTTTTTTTTTCAAACTTATAAATAATGTTTAATGTTTACATTTAGTTAAGAGATTTCATTTGATTTTCTTGGAAACATGTGGTTTCCGTTAAATAATATTAGCTTTCAGAAATTATTGTTTATAATTTTTTGTCACTCTCCATTAAGTTCTACGATTTAGTGTGTTTGATATTGTTTTTCCTAAAATTCTCAGCTTTCCAACGAATTATATTATACATACATATTCAGTCAAGAAAATTCATTTTCAAACTAAAAACACATTTTTCTTTTTTTCCCATTTAGCCAATTAACAAATTCATCTGTACTTTATACTCAGCCACTTTTTATTTTTAATGATCATAAGAGACATTTCATTTTTCTAAATAAACCAAATTTAAGGTGCTTTAATGGAAGACATATTCAACATTAGTCATTTTAGCTCTGTAAGGCGACATCAATGTGGATAAGACCTAGCTGATCTTAAATACCGCTTGCTAATACACTGATATACCGAGTTTAATCAAAATCTTTAGTCTGTTTTGAGAAAGTCGTTGAAAAAAATTACATTGTTGAAATAAAGTGCCACTTCTGGTCAGCTGATTTTGACGAAAAGGTTGCTATAACATCCCAGGCATATAAAAACCTTAAATACGTAATATCAGTTTCTTACGACTTTTCGTTTTTTAGCTAGACTTAAAATACAGACAGAGATCATTTTGTGGGACTTGGTTTTTTCAACTCAGGGGACCTTAAAACTTGTATTTCCGTTAAAATTGAAAATTTTCATGATTGCAATACTTCCCCTTGCTATATATTACTTATATAGGTGAAATGAACAAAATATTTCCAAGGACCTAATAATTCATATTGTTTTCTAACTTTGATCAATTTCATCATATTGGGATGGGATTCTTGACTTCATAATCTTGTTATCCGTGTTGATTTTGCTCAAAAATCAAAACAAGTGTGCTAGATTGTGATTATCATTTTGCTTATATAATGTCTAAGGTCTTGTTAATATTTGATAATCGGCTGCAATATAACATATCATGTTTAAGTCAGTTCATGCTGTTATACATATTTTTTAATATTAAGAAGTAAAGGTGTTAAGTTGAAATTTTCTTCCTTGAATGATTAGATAAACAGCTGTTTTCGACTTTATGTGTAGATCGGCGTGATTATGTGATATTGGCTGTTTTATCATTCAGACAATACTTTTGAACCTAGTGCCTTCCTGTTATTTAGTTAGCGATGATTGATTTCCATACACTCCCAAGTGATAAACACAACCCCGTCTTTTTCAGTTGAGATCAGTGACTATATTGTATCACAAATTTTGACTTGTATCTGTTTAAAAGGGTTGAAAATGTAATTTATGTGTATCCTTTCCAAGAGGATTAGTTGAGTTTTATCTACTTTTGGAAATACTCGTCAATTTTTAGGATTAATGTGTTATTGTTCCTGGTCATCCTGGTAGGTTGACATTTTAAGTTTTAATTGTACTCAAATAACATGTATATTTAATCATTTGCATGTTATAACTTGTCTGATCCATCTTGTTCTATCTTGGCTAAGTGCAGTCATGAAGTGTTAATTGATTCAGAGAAGGTTTGCTAGTGCACATATCTCCTCCATATGCTGCTCATGGCATATGTTTGTTCCATCTTCCATATTTCTCATGATTTTGAATAAAATTAAATTTTTATCCATAACTGTTGGATTCAGATGTTGATAATTTGTATTTTGTGGTAGTAATAATTTGTTTTAGGTGGTTCTAGGAATTTTTTTTCAGAAAATATTTTTTCAAGCTTTACTGCAGTTACAATTATTTTTAATAAAATTATTCAATACATTGATTAATCTTTTGGTTTTAGGTCAAGAGGTTTTGGCTTTATCACCTACTCCCATGGCCACATGGTTGATGAAGCTCAGTCTCATCGACCTCATAGGATTGATGGGCGAACTGTTGAAACCAAAAGAGCAGTTCCTAGAAATGTAAGTTGTTTTTTGGATGTCGCAAACTGTTAAAAAATTTAATATCTTTTTCATTTTACTGTAAATTTTAAAATAAACACATTTATTATTATATTTTTATGATTTTATCAGGATATTGGAAGACCTGAGGCTGGTGCAACTGTTAAAAAAATATTTATTGGTGGTTTGAAAGATGATATAAATGAAGATGATCTAAAGATGTATTTTGGGGAATATGGCACAATTTCAAATGTTGCCATCATTATGGACAGAGATACTGGAAAGAAAAGGGGTTTTGGTTTTGTAGAGTTCGAAGACTATGACACAGTTGATAAAATATGCTGTAAGTAATTGTGCTTTTATTTTTCTTATTGATTAGGTTAAAAATTGTATCTTATGTGATACTGTAAAACCTTAATTGAATTGGATGGGTATGGATAGGGTAACATGGATGGATGTTGAATATAAATAATTAGTAGTTTTAATACCACATGCATTTTATTTGTTGAACATTTGTTTATATTACAATGTAATTATCAATAATCTACTATAAATTATGTTTTATTTAGTTTTGGGAGTTTGAATTTTCAATTAATTCCATAGTTCTCATTTATTCTAATGGAATACTTATTCCAGTTACCTCAGTATAGAATGATGCAAAGACAAGTTAGGAAAACTTTTACTAGGCCATAAATATAGGCTTTTACAATTTGTTTTATTTTTTACCTGAGTATATAAAAAACCTATAATGAGATATTTAGCATTTTTGTTTATTTTGGTAGGTAGATAATTGCATAGTTTAGTTTTAGCATAATAGTAGGTTCACAATTAAAGAATTCAATTTATGTCACTAATAACTTTCTTTAAAATATTGTGGGCAGGATAGACTCAATTCCAAAAGTTACATAACTTCAATAATATGATTAATTTTTATTGCAGTACAAGGTTCTCATTCAATCAATGGGAAAAGAATTGATGTCAAGAAAGCTATCGGCAAAAGTGAAGGAGGAAAGGGTGGTGGTGACAGAATGGGAGGCGGTGGTGGTGGCAGAAGTGGTGGAAGATCCAGAGAAAGTGGTGGCTCAGGGTGGGGTGGTTCCTCAGGACGTGGTGGTGGAGGTGGTGGCTGGGGCAATGGTAACAGCCAACCATGGGGTGGAAGTGGACCCTGGGAGAACTCGGGTAGTGGCAGTGGATGGAGCAGTGGAGGTCCTGGTGGATGGGACAGTGGAAATGGATTTGGAGGAGGAAGTAGTGGTGGTGGATACAGCTCTAGCTACGGTAGTAGTGGGCCCATGCGCTCTGGAAGTGGATTTGGAGGAGGTAGATCAGGTACGCTGTTTTGTTTTATTCAAATCTAAAAATTTTAATATAGGCTTCTATATTTAGTAATATTGACTGAAATTAAAAACTTCTTTCAAGACCAAAGGATTATTATTACTCCAAAAAATGACTTATTATTTTTAGTTTAATGAAATAAAAGGGTTTTGTTTTAATTCTGTGGTAAAAAGTATTATTTCACATTATGCTATATAAAGTAAGGTGGCAGTGTTGGGAAAGTTGTGAATAATTTAAAGTCCGAAGTTTTAACATTTATTTTGATCTATTTTATTTTATCTATTCATCTTACTTCAGTACTTTTATGTAACTGGCTTTTTCTAGTCTTGAAAATTATATTATAAGCATTTCAGATATTTCTTTGTCACTTTTGTAGTCATTCATGCTATTTATGTCAATTTTATTAGCACTTGGAAAAATTATAATTATGCCATAACTGGTTGCTCATGCTTGAGTAGATATATATATATGTATATTTGAATGGTAAGAGAACACCTGAAATAATTGAGATTATTTTTTTTAAGAAGTATTAAAATTCAATAAAATGCTAATTTTTGTTTTTACTTAATCATTCTTTAAATTTAGCTTTGGGAGTTTGAATTTTCGATTAATTCAATAGTTCTCATTCATTTTAATGGAATAGACTTATTGCAGTTAGTAGGTTCAGAATTAAAGGATTCAATTTATGGATATAGTCACTAATAACTTTCTTTGAAATATGATATATATATAAAAAGTAAAACCTCCAAGTAGTTGTATATTTGTGACTGAAAAAATGTTGTGGATGTTCTCTCTTAATTTTTTTATCTGCGACAATGATTTCTCTCTACTGATCATTGGTTAGTTGGATAAATAAATAGTTTTCTTGTAAACCCCGGTTTCTTAATACTGTTTTGATTTCAGGATCCCAAAGTGATTGGGAAGGAAGCGGTGGTGGTTTTGGAGGTGGATATCAACAGAGCTATAGTGGTGGTCCTATGAGATCAAGTGGCGGTGGCGGTGGTAGTGGTGGTGGTGGCTACGGCGGAAGATCTGGCCCTTACTCAAGTAAGTCTTCTTCTCACTACCATATAATAACATAACAGCTCTATCATTTATTTAAATCTCATAAAAAATATAAATACAACTTCACCTTCGTTCAGGTTTGAAGATGTCTTGAATTGAATAATTTCTGCCTAGTAGATGTATACAAGCTTGATTCAAGGTTTTTATTGAAAAGTATCTCCAATAGAACATAATCCAATTTATTTTAGTGCAGTTCAATTATGTATACTAGGAATTTTGTTTAATGGTGGGGTTACAGTTTTAAACAATTTAACCTTATGTTACTCAGATTTGATCGTTAATTCTTTCCTTCCAATTAAATTTCAGAGGACACATTTATAGTATTATTGAATGTATGTAAACAACTTAGTATTCACATTTTAAAATTGGGGGAGGGTGCAGAGAACATTTATGTAAACTTTTAAAGAACAATAATAATTTTGTGAAAAGTAGGCTCAACACAGAAATGTTAATGAAAAAAAGATAATTTCCTAAAATTTCGGGTTTTTCATAGTTAAAACAACATATGAATGATTTTTTGAGTTCTTGTTTTAACCTTCAGCATTTTTGTGGTCTCTTGGTTCTAATGAGTAAACTATCACCTAGAAGTTATTAAAAGATTTCAGTTATAGTTCACTGATTCTTTATAAGTCGTGTAATTTTGTCACACGTCACAATTTCGATGATTCGCAAATTCAGAAAACAAAATAGTTACGAGCTAAAAGTCCGTACAAAGATTACAGCTTACTATTCAAAGTAATTTGAAAAAAAAAAAGAATATGTTCAAGATTATATTTTACAAGTGCACTTTTTTATAAATAAATATCGTTTGATTATATTTTACAAGTGCACTTTTTTAAAAATAAGTATCGTTTCTCTTAAACTTATATTTAAATTGTAAATTAGAACAAAAATTTTTTTTTTTAATGAACAAACTATTTTGTTTTACTTTCAGTTTCTCTTAAATAGAAATTTCTCAATATGATGAAATATAATTCTTACGAATAGTAGGTATCCACTACTGAGAAGTTTTACTGTATTTAGGTTTATAATATATTATACATTCTAATGTTGAAACAAATATCTAATATAATCAATATGTTCTTAAGTCTCCAATCAATATATGAAATTAATAATCACATAAGATATATGAAATGTATATTGTATTATATTAAATTAGGTAACAAATATTCATTTTCAATTTTTTTTTTTTTTTTCATTGCTGATACAGTAGATGGGGCAGCTTTATCTACCTGTGATAAATATTATTTGATTATATTACTCTTTGGTTGACCCTTGAATTTTTACTATTTTTTGATACCCTAGGTGGAGGTAGCGGCTATGGTGGAAGTGGTGGAAGAAGGTTCTAATTTTAAGTTTATTTACGTAAGTATATTCAAATTATTATTATTTTTTTATTTGTTGAAGATGTTCTCGTTTTAGAATGTTGAAACAAATAGTGCTCTTGTCTACTTTCAAAATGTGTCGTTTTATATTTGTCATTAAACTTGTCTAGTTTTTGTAAATTGGTGTCAATGTGCTTAGACGTTTTGACTGGTTTGCCAGAGCATATCCCTTCTACTTATTGTCCATTCATGGAATTATTCTTAATTTAGTTGGTCAGATTTTTCTTGAAATAATTAATGTCAATTAATTATTTTTCTATAGGATTTTTAGGGTAGGATGATTTACGTATCAGATCTCAATCATGTGATGTTTGTTAATCATTAAGTCTTTCAAAATATGATGTTGATGAGTAATATAAAATCTATAACTTTTTTGAAGAGGTTTTATTATTGTGAAGCTGTCAGATTTGGCTAAAAGTAAACTAATCTTGTCCATTGAAGAGTGAAGAGAATTTAAGCTCTACCTTAGTTGTAGTTATAAATTGCCCTTATATTGTTGAAATTTATATTCCAATTTCCATAGTATTTCCTTTATTCATTCTAAATGGCCTTCGATAAATTCAATATTTACTGATCTAGGAGTTAAAGGGTGATAAGACGATACTGATAAGATAATCTTACTGAACCATTGCTGTCTGTGCTTAAGTGATAAGTTTTTTTTTCATGTCAGTGATATTCTTTGTTTAATATTGGACAAAATTAGTTCCTTTCCTTTCTTACAAGGGATATTTTTATATATCGAGTGGTACAAACATTTTTTTTTGTTAACAGTTTATTTCATTACTGGTTTGTTAAAAATGTGAATTCATTTCAAGTTATTTAGTTATTTCTGATTTTAAGTAATTGTAGTGCTTAAATTACTAATAATCATAGTGCTACTAGTTAGTTTCTTAAATATTTTAGCAGTATAGTTATAACATAAATTATTACCACATTGTAAATAGCTCCTACCTTTAAAGAAGATGTAAGGATGCTCTTATTGTGTGGAATTTATAACAATAAATTTTTTTGTTGAGTAAATTTAATATTACAAATTTTATATCGGGGCTCTAAAATAGGCATTCAGTTTATATTAAAAGATATTTTTGTTTGTTTATATGATGACAATTATCTGTTGTATGATGTTAGGAATTTCTTTAAGACTGCATATGTTAGGTATTTCTTTAAGACTGCATAAATTCTTTTTGTCATAGTTCAATTGTTACTTTATCAGATCAAAGGGTCTTTCATATTTAATAATTATTTGATTAGTAGGATATTTCACTTCAATGAGTTATAGAACAAAAAGGTATTAGATATTAAATGTTTCCATTATGTTTCTAAAACTATTTGAGTTCAGCTTTTAAAATTCTGTTTTATTATTGGGATTATAAATTTTTATTGTCTATTGCACAGGTGTGGAACCTTTTTTTATCATTAGAGGCTGCAGCAAGTATAGATGGTGCTAATGCAGGCTGCAATAATTCTTTATGTTTTACCGTTGCTATTTTTATTTATTGCTAAATACAAAACTTATATATACATTCAACTCAATTTTATTAATTTCCAAATTTTCTTTACTTAAATAATTAAATATTAATTAATTCTAGTTCTAGATTATTAAATATCACTCAAAAATGTTTAGAGGCCGCAACTATGTTAAAGAGGTGTCACATGCGGCCTCCGAGGCCGCGGTTCTCCATCTATGGTCTTTAGTGTATTTAGTATTCCTCAGCTTCTTTTTGATTGAAGAGTTCTTAAATAAATTTATACTTTTGTAACTATTCTCACTGCCCAATAATTTTTCTCTTAAGATAATTATTTTTCATTCTGTCTGTATATACATAGCTGTGTATATATGTAATGAAAACAATCAGCAAGCTTCTGAATGTATCTTTAATATTTGTTTTTAGTTCTGTGCATATATTGTCAGAATTGTGTTATGCTTTAAAAACAATTATCTTGGTTGTGTCTGTTTGTTAATGCCCTTTTTTTAGTTTTATATATTTTTTACTATCTAAGTATTTTATATCAGAATCTGTCTTTCATGTTTTATTATTGTCCTTATTTCTTAAGACTCATTTTCCTTAATTATTAAATTACTTTCAAGAAGCCTTATGCTATTAAACTTGGTATCCTTTTTGGTTAATTTTTTGCAGCGTTAATTGAAAGCAAAAGTATAACTATCCAGGAGAAATTGTTTCTTACGCTCATTCATGGGAAAATTCCTAAGCCAATCTAATTGATTTATCATTCGCAGCAATATTAATTTTGTTTATAGTTTTTTTGTCTAATTATAAATCATTAATAATTTTATTCTCTTAATTATTTGTCTGGATTACATCATTTTTTTGGGGGGGGGGCGTTAAAAATTTGCTTTTAAACATTTTATTATTAGTACCTTATTTTTCTCAATTTTTTCAGAATTTTTTTTATTAATTCAAATTTGGGAATAGATCAGGCTAGTACTATTTGTTATGCTTTAATTAGGAATTATTGTCCTCATTAGACTTTATATTTATCTACTTTTTATTAAAATATATAATGTACTTATTTTAGGAGCTGATGATGTAGGTTCTCTTGTTTTCTATATGAATAATTACTTAAAAGGAAAGTTTTGCATGTTGTGTAATTCTGTTATAAAAATGTGACGGTTTTTTCTTGAGGAGTTTGTAAATTTATTTATTTTTTTATTATTAATGTTGAGTAACTGAACTCCTGTGAGTTTCTTCTTTTTATTGTTTTAGAAATAGTTTTACAGACTCCTTAAATATATATATATGAGTACTTTCAACAATTTTGAGTTCCGTTTCTTCTGAGTAGGCAGAATGCAGAAATTAGGAATACATTTTCAATTTAAATATTATCCTTTCTTTGCTAGATTCTTTATAATTTCAATTCGATTTTTGGCAGGTAGCAAAATGTTTTTTTTATTTAAATTCGATCTTAACCGTGAGTAAGGTTCATCTTTAGTAAAATAAATGGTAGTAAATTAGGAGTTTAACTTTAGTTAGTATTAGAGCGTTTCTGTATTCTGACTTACAAGGATTAAAAATACATGTTAAGTCCTCATGATAATGCCAATATACACCCTTAGTTTTATTTTGGGGGGATATTATTGGTATTAGGTATGAGCATTTTAGTATAGTGTAACGACAAAAACCTATTAGAGATAGTCTAGAAATGAGATAGCTTATTTTTAAATGTATTTTGCTATGGTTCAGGTTGCTAGGAAGTTAGTGAAGGCAGGAGTATGAAAATAGTGACAGGATGGAGGCAGTACAAGTTAGGACCAAGATTAGGAATATTACGACTCAAATCTTAACCATTATCATAGGATAGAGCAGAACGATACAGTGTGCTGGTTTGTATAGAGACTTTAGAAGGGGTTACAATTATATTATTTTCAATCTTGTTCAAGTAGTATTTATTCACTTAAACCAAAAACATAAATATATATTGTAGTATCCTAATTTGTCTGTCAGTTCAGGATTCATTATGTTATTCCATACATTTAGAAGAATAAATTATCGTACCTTTTTATGTGGTGATTTAATAGGAAATTATATTTATTAGTTAGGTAGTGTTAACGTATTTTTTCTTTAAGTGTACTGTAGGTTAATAAAGTTTTGTCAATTTTATTTTCCTTCTCTTTATTGTATAATTAGGCTATTTGATTGGTGGCGCATATATATATCAACTTATATATACACACACATATATATTCTTTTTTTATGGAAAATATAGTTAGATTTTATTTATTTGAACATACTAGGTTTATGTTAGATTGTTTTTAATTATTGTATATTCCCGGAAGGGCTTTTATGTGAGCTCTAGGCAGGCTTTTTTTATATCATAATTATATTTGTTGAGATGAACATACATTTTAATTGCCACTGATATGTTTTGTGTTTTGTTTCATTACCATCTGTCATTTCACCCGTGCGGGAATGTGCCCTGCCTAATCCTGAGGAGGTAAGGCCTCTTATATTGACTGACTATTTTAATTTACCATTATACATATGATAAAGAAATAAAAATTATGTGTATTATTTTTATCCTATTTCCCATTTTATTGAAGGGTCATTTTATGTGGACAAGATATTTTCTTCTGCCTCTTCAGTAAGTAATTTCATACTTTGTCACATACCTTATTTATTTTACTTTTTTTCTTAATAAAGACCAGTTAATTGTAATGAAATTTTTATTTTTCTCCTATTTATTCTCCACAAAATTTAAATAATACTGAGGTTAAATTGACTGAATTCTAACAATTGTTTTCAAAATTGCTTCATTACGTGCTGAAATAAGTCTTGAAGAAGTGTCCCAGTTTAACCTTGTTTATTTTGTAAAGGCCTTTTGTCCTGTAAAACAAGAAAACAATAAAAATAAGGTAAGTTTTAAATCTTGATGTAAAATCAAAATCTTGTAATTAATTAAACCAATACTTCTCTATAATTGTTATATTGCAATTTGTAATATGCAACTGATTAAACAATAGGTATAGTAAAAAATGAATATTTTCCTTTTTAAAGATTAATTTCTATTTAACTAGGGAGGTGTACCCCCTGTCTGTCGAATAGCGACCAACCACCATTTTATAGTACAACTATAATTTACATGTATTTTTTTCTATATTAATGAAAGCAGAAGAAAAAAAATTAAATTCTAGTCTATTTTAGCATTTTAATTGATTGTGATCGGGAAATAAAATATTACACAATCACTTAAAACCTTTTTGTATAATAAATAAAATATGGCAGTCAATAATAATTTAAAATATAGAGATAATAATGACCAGTTTCAAATTTAATTACAAAAATAAACATTACTAGTGAGAATTAAATTAAATCAAGCAAACTGCTCAGCTGCTTACCCCACCATTCTACTTTATTTGAAATAAATGTGTAAATTAATTTAAAATAGCATACATTTTCCATATACCCATCTAATTGTTTAAGTTACTGATTTTTCTTCACTCTCCGTTCCTTCATGTTAATTATAGCTTTAAATTTATTTTATTATGACATGGCATACCTGCTTATGGTTAGTCTATTTTTGTGAAAATGAAATTGCTATAACATCTCAGGAATGCTCATAGCTACTTTGCATGATTAGTTTTTTGAACTGTGCTATCTACATACACAGACCAATTTTGTGAAACCCGTTTTTTAGGACTCCAGCGATCTTAAAACTAATATTTCCATTAAATGCTTATTTAAAATTTTCTTTTACCATCGCAATATTTTCCCTTACCTTATGTTTCATATATGGGTTAGCAAAAAGGAAAAAAATCTGCGAATTAAGTGCACTTTTACTTAATTTAAGTTTGTTTGTTATAGATTATTAGATAATAAACTAATTAATTTCCCTGAGGAATTATGTACTTTAAACACAGAGTTGATCAACTGTTGACAGCATCTTTGATTCTGAGCAACTAATCAAACATAATACATATATTGGTCGATTTCAAAGAAATGACAGTGATAAAAATGAATTATGATCCATAGATGGTTATTTCACTGTGAAGCTTTTTTTTTTTTTTCTCTAAAATCAAGTTTTTTTTATATCCCGAAATGTAAAATTGTAAACATGTAACTTTGATAATACAAGAAATATATTCAATTGTTGCTAATTGGAAGTAATTATTGCCAAATAACTAAGAATATTATACAACTTCCCGGAAAAAAGAACAATATTTTTTTTTATGAACTTCAATTTGAGTAATTCAAAGGCTTTTTATCTCAAAAGCAATACTTCTAGCTTTTAAAACATTAACCATGTAGCTATAATTAAAGAAACAAGTGAAATTTTTTATTTATTTTTCTGAACATCCAATGCTTATATTACATAAGAAAAAAAACGTAATTGTCAAGATAAAGTATTAGACTTTTTTTTTGGATTATAGTTTTCTGAAAATCATGAAAATGTCACTTGGTTCTACAATAAGTGATTCACTTGATATCTATATCTTACTTGTTCTGGCATTTTATAAAATTTTCTTGCATTAATTTCTTCAATATTTCTTGTGCCATGTCTGGTGAGGCACTCAAAATTTCAAGATATTTGATGGTAATGTTTTTCATTCCATGGCATCTATAGAGAACTTGCCTATAAATTGCCAAATGCTGAAACAAATAGAAATTTGTAATGGGTGTTAATTTTGAGTGGAATGCCATTCATTCCAGATTTGACACACATACATTTTGATATATTTATAAATGGAAGAGATTTAAAGCTTAAAAATCAAATGATTCTTATGTCTTGATTAAATGTTATTAAAGTTCAGATGTTGAATTTTAAAGTAATTCTATTTTTACCTTAGCTTGCCTTTGTTTATATTTCATCAAAGTTAGATCAGTACATTCAAGGTTGCAGTCCAACTTGGCACATGCATAGCAGCAACCATTTTCTGGTATTTTGCCAAAAGAAGAGATCTTGTAGCATACCTATAAACATGAGATCATGAAGTTGTTTAGGAATTTTTGTTTTATTATAAGTAATAACCAATATTGAGCATAGCTTAATCGCATTCACATCACCAAATATCACTTATGTTAGTTGTAAACTAATACCAAGATCAAGGAACTCATAGATTTAACAATGATACTGGTAACAATCATTTGAATTGTTTATGAAGTAATATGATTTAAATATTAAGGTTTGTTTATACATTTCACTAGCAAATATATAAATGGTTGTTTCACTATGTTAGTACTTTTGTTTCTTGTTTTTGATATTTTCCATGTACTGTCAGTATCAAGAGAATTAAAATAAATACTTTGGTCTAGCAATAATGTCACTGTTAGGCAAGTTAAGTAATTTTGTTTTTCGTAGCTTATGAAATATATAAATGCACCTTTACAGTCAAAACCCACTTATCCTTGTCAATGTAATCATTAAAGGTTAATGCTGAGAACACATAAGAAAATTTTTAGTATTATAAGCCACTGGCAGATCCAGGATTTTTTTAATTTAGGAAAGGGGAGCTTCAGCTCGAAAGCTTTTGTTTTCATATATATAATGATAATTAATTTGAAGAAAAAAAATAAGAAACTATATGAGGAGGTGTTTAGGTGATTCTTGATATCCGTTTAAATGTAATTACATGAACAATAATAATACTTTTAAGAGATAGTTTTTAATATTCTTTTCTATAAAATATGGTTATATTTTACCATTTTGAGGGGGGCTTCAGCTGGAAAGCATCTCCCCCCTCCTCCATAGATCCGCCTATGTTATAAGCTGAAATTTAGTTTATTATAGCCAATGTCTAGATTTATTTATATGCAAAAAATAATAAGCAGTCCTCAAAAATTTGATATGTAATAAAAATTACAATATTATATTTCATTTCAACCAAATACTGAAATGAAAAAAATGTAATATTGATATATTGAGACGTAAATACATGTGAACTAACTAAAGAGTGTTTGATAGTTTTAATTATTTATATTTCTAATATATATGATTTTAACTAATAACAAACTTAAACTAAACACTGTTGTGTTTATAATTAACAAAAATATGAATTTCTAAATAGCTTTCAGTGAAACAATTGTTTGCTACTTCATGAAAATTTATGTGCACAATATTGATTGACAAATCACAGAAAATTAGTTTATTGCCTGTTTGAAATTTATGTTTTTTGACATGCACGACACTTCTTTCTATAATAAATATTTTTATATCAAGCAAAGTAACCCAACGGAAGTTCATTTAGTTTTATAGAAAAATAAGATTGTTTCTGCCATGAATATAATTGTATCTGTAGTTGAGTCAAACAGAAATTTTTCTGGTTATTTCTTGCTCTTGGATATTTTCCCAAAGAACTTCTATTGTGTATTTCCATAGAGAAAAAAAAAGGACTTCGAATCAACATTCAATATTGGGCTGTTTAAAACTAATCACTTCTATTTCATTAGAAATGAAATATGATTTTATCATTTGAAACATTGGTAAAAGGTAAAACATGATGAATGTCTTATTTGATTAAAATATAAACTCAATTATTAAAAATATGTATCTTACAAGGCTAAATATGCATAGTGATTTGAAGTTTTGTCAAATGTGTTGTATAAAAATGTGCCTAGTAGAACAACTTATTTCGTAAAATCATTGACTCATGTTTTTGTAAGAAATGCAATTGCATATTATTTATAATTGTCTGCAATTCCAGGTCTTATTTATAACTATAATTTTTTTTTATATACAATCAGTTTTGTTTTTTGTTTTACCAAACTTTGTGTTTTCATAAATTAAAAGAAAATTCCATGTGGTAAATAAATATATATAATGAAAAAGTTGAGATACGTAATCCAATTTATGTATTATACTTAGGTATTTGCTTGCTTTACAGATAAGTTAGATTAATATTATCAAATATACATTAAAAAGATTATGTTGATGGACAGTAAGAATTGAACAAACCCTAGCGCATTAGTCATTGCTAGCCAAGATTTGACCGACATTGTAAGTCTGTAATGGCTAATATTAGAACTTCATATAAAGATATAGTTAAATATAAATATGACAGTATGAAATCATAATTTCATAACAACAAATTGTGAAAAAAGATATAGCTAACATTAAACATAAACTGAAAATTTACCAGATGATGTAGCGATTCACAGTGTTGACATTTGAAGGTATTATCCTCCTTGAACTCTTGTGTGCATATGCAGCACAGCTGTTCCTTAGAGCTGTTGCTCTTTCCTGAGGTCAATATTGTATCATCCTCTGAAATAAAATAGAGGTATTCATATGATTTAAATTATAATTATTAATATATAATAATAATACTTTATTTATTCTGGGACGAGTCTCTTTAGAATAATACAGAAAGACATAAATATGGTCTAAGGAGCCTCAGAGATACATAAATAAAGATACAGAGTAATTAAATAGTCAAAGTAATAAAATGAAAAATTATAAGTTACTTTCTAATTTTAATCAGTTAATAATTAAAAATTAAATAAAAAGGATGAAGTAAAAATAATGAAGTACGAGCTAATAATTTATATACATATTTACATTAGTATCTATTTACAATTTCATGGGGACTGGATGGATAAGAAATGATTGAACAGACGGGATTTAAAGGTAGGAAGGGTATTAGATTGTCGAATGTGAGAAGGGATGGAGTTTCAAAGGGATGAGGATCGGATAATGTAAGATCTGTTGAAAGCAGCGGTTCGGTGGGCTCATATATATAAGTCAGAAGACTGGGAACGAACAGAGGATTTGAATTGAAGGAGCTCAGAGATGTATGAAGGACAGTGTGATTGGATAACTTGAAAAAGGAAGGATGCCAGGAAATATTTGCGACGGTAGGAAGGAAAAAGCCACTTGAACTTTCCATAAAAATGGGAAACAGAGGCGTCCCTTGGTATCCCGAAGATGAATCTTACAAAGCAATTTATTAAACGTTTTAGTTTCGCCTCGAGATCCCATATACGAACAGCAATAGTCAAAGTGGGGGAAAATTAAAGAAGTGACTAGGAGCCTACGGGTTTCAAATGGAAATAGGTGATAAGAATAATTTAGACGTTTTAGAGTGGAAACATTGGATACATGGTTTTTCCAGGATATGTATATATATATATATATATATATATATACAGGATATGTATATATATAAATTTCAATATTGTTGCCATCGACCACTTTATTTATAATAGTAAAAGCACACATTGGATTCAAATACTCCTACTTCATTTTTACTTTAAATCTAACGTTTCAGCCCTTAGGCCATTTTCAAGGAAAGAAACCATATTTTAGTATAAAAATAAAATAATATATGCTAAATTGCCTTTGTTACAATACTTAATCCTCAATAATAATTAATTATTGTGACAAAGGCAGTTTAGCCCTTATGATTTTGTTTTTATATTAAAATAAGGTTTCTTCTCTTGAAAATGGACTAACGGCTGAAATATTGGATATAAAGTAGGACTATTTGGATCTAATATTGATTTTTTTATTATTATATTGAAAATTAAACAAAGATTGCCTTGCCAATGGAATCCAAAATGATCACTGTATTCTTGAATTCAACAATTTCTTTTTAACTGTATAAAATATTTTTTTTATTGAGTTACCAAAAATAGATTGATATACACTCAGAAAATTGTATAAATATTAATAATATTTAAGCTAATTTTGACTATACCTTGACTTGCATTCTTGTCCAAAGACCAAGTCCAGTTACTGTAACTTTTAGAATTGTCAACTTCTATATCTTTTCCCCTAGTATCGCCACTTTCAGCACCGATTTTAGCAAATTCTGTTAATTTGCTAGTTTTCTCGAGATTACTTTTTACTGGTATTTCCTTAGATTTTTCTATTTTAGGTACTCTTCCATTATCTGTATCTGGTTGAATGAAGACATTCTGTTGACTGTCCTGTAACAGTCGCATTCAGATGATGCACTTTTACGATGGTGTGTTTAATTTATCAATGAAAATTACTAGATAATTATAATTTTAAACCACTGGTGTTTGCTCTAAAATTCTAAGGACATAATTTGTATGAAAAACCTTTTAACGACTTAATGACTAAAGAAGTTTTTACATTATGATTGGAATGCGCTACTTGATCTTTAATGATCAAATACCAGTGAAATATATTAATATGAAATTTATAATTACTGTATGGTAGAGAAGACTATTTTGTTTAATATCATCACTTTCAGCAAATTTTGTTATTTTTTTAACTTTCTTGGGGAAGTCTTTTACAGGGATTTCCTTGGACTTTTCTATTTCAGGAAGTCTTCCATCTTCTAATTCTGACTGAGAGAAGAAACTTTGTTGACTATCCTGTAACATTTTTAGTTCGCTGATTTACTTTTAGGAGGGTGAATTATTGATTTGTTAATAACTGCAGTCTCATTATTGATAAGGAAGTATATTTAATCGTCCATTATTACAAAATTATGTTAATGTATGAGTACAAATGCATGGTTAGCAATATTAATATGTATTAGCTTTAAATTAATTAATCTCATCCTGATTTATGTAAGTTCATGTGTATTTATGAAATTTCATTAAAATGTTTTAATTTTTTTGTAGTTAAAAATCACAAAAGAAATTTAAATTTCACAAGTCATAATGATTAATATTTTAATCTGCTATTCTCAAAAATTTAAGCACTAGCAATAAAAAAAAAAAACCTTTCACCAGTCAGCTACCATAATCGTAGAACTTAAATGGAAGGGTAGCATTTCTCTAAATCTAGAATCACTTTTAATTTTTCAAGTTCCAGAAACAATTTTACATTGTTTAGTGAAGCGATTCCCAATCCTGTCAATTCATTATTGATTTTTGCTTTTGTCATCATACAAGTTATTCTAGATTTGGATTAATGTTTCTCTCCTTTTACGGTCATGAAAATATTTTAAAAAATTGAAATTATTCTGAAAGTTAACAGAAAATACTTACATCAAGAGCCATAAGGGCAGACCCACTGTAAATACTTATGCTATGATGAGGAGATTCTATAGATCCTATTGATTGTTTTTTTAATTTTTCCAGTTGTAAGTCATTTGGCTTAGCATGACTAAAAAATTTTGGTTTATAGTGAAGAGGTGTTGCTGTGGAATAAATTTTAAATTAATTGATTAAATTTTGTTTTATTTTATTAAATTCTAGAATGATTTAATAAAATTATTTATACCATCATCATAGTAGTTTATTCTTAGTTGTAATTTATACTTTTGTGGTAAGGGCTCAAGATTTTCGGTTATTGTTAAGAGGTTGTTGATCAACTTTTTTGTTGAATTTTCAAACCCCAATCTGTCAAAGTCTAGTGTGCTAAAATAATTTGAGAATATTAAACATATATATATGTGTGTGTGTATAAATAGGATTATTATCTTTTTTTTTTTTAATATGAACCAACGTTTTTGTATTAGAGGAAAGTGAACATGTCGGTCCTTCTTTGGTATACTTATATTCAACAGCATAATATTCCAATAGAAAATCTTCAGGTGTCAAAATTTCCAAAACCAGCTCTCTCATCTGAAGTTGATTTTATAATTAAATGAAGAAATAGTAATAATTTTATATATTTTAAAATTATTATCATTATCGAGACTTACATAGCTATTATCCAATGCATCAAAAGCACTTTTTATCCATTTTGTCATTAAATATGCATCTTTACACTCATAGTTGCCAGCTAATATTTTAACTTTAACATTATCAAAATCTTTCTCAGCATAAGCAATTTCTGGAAATATAGAACGCATGTACGATATAATTGAGAAAGATAATGCTGTGAATTGTTTTACAAACACAAGTGATCCTTTCACTGTAGTTACATCTTGATTAAAAACCTCTTGCAATCCCTAAAACAAATATCAAAATTGAGGTATTAATATAACTGTTTGAATTTATATATGGGTATTTTCAACATAAAAGTTTATATTGTTGAAAAATAGAATCAGATTTTAATACTTTTAATGGTACCTACTGAAGAATGTGTTTGTTTCACTAATTGTAACTGTTCAGTGGCCATTCTTGGATTTATTATAGTTTTAAAACAATAATGCAAGCAAACAATATTTGAAGTGATCAATTTCAAAACTTTAGTAAACACTTGGAGAACTAGCAGTATTGCCATTTGTTAATGACATTTTTTTTTTTTTGGTAAACTTAAATTGTTTTTTACCTATAATTTAAATTTAAGAATATCAATTTTTTCTGCTATTAGTATTTTATTAAAACTCTAAAATGTATCAATAATTTATTTTAGATTATATGTTGGTGTATAGATAGTTTTGAAGGGATGTTGGCAATCCTTTTATGCAGAAAATAGCTTCACTACAATTAAAACATTTAAGTTAATATTAAAAAATGTTAAAATAATTTAATAAAAACGAAGTTAAAAGTTTAAATTCTTATATAATTAACAAAGCAGATTATTAAATGTAATACGTGTTAACTGTGGCAATGTTTGCTATTAATGTGCTGATAACAGTGCTTAACAAATTTAGTGTAATCTAGTCTCCCTACGGCTTCACTCCATATTGTCATCTTAAATTTTATAAAAATACTTATTTTAGGTGAGATATCTATAATTTATGTGAAATTTTTTTAAAGAGATTTAATCATTTTGTTTGATAAAGAATCTATGTTTGGCACTTTTGTTATTTAAGACATGATGTTTAAATATTGTCTACTTTGATTCTAATTGATTATCTATAGTTTATTCCCGTTAATTGCCGACCTTTAATGTCTCGTAAAACATTTAATTCAATGAATTAATTTTTTTTTTTTTTTTTTTTAACAGAAGAGAAATAAATTTAATACTATTAATTTTAAACACCCGTATTTTTATTTCTCAAACTTGACGCTGGTAGCGATGACGCTTTAGAAGTCCAGTCCGAAATATTTTATCTGCCATCTATACCTCATTTTATCTTGTAAAAAATTTGGAGGAGTTAACCCCCCCTTCCAAAAAAAAAATATAAATAAATAAAAGTAAAACAAACATCACACATCTATCCAAACATATTTTGCCTTTTTATTTATTTTTAATCCGGAGGGAGGGGGGGGGGATGACCCTCCTCACCTTTCCAAAAAAATAATAGTAATTACTTTTAATTGTTAATGTTTAACAAAAATTAGTTTGATTAAACTGGCAGACATTTATTCTTAAATGCAGTGAAGTATCTTTTTTTTTTTAATGGAACTTTTGCATTATTTTATTTATTTGAGTATATTTTAGGTGCCTTGTGCAGATTAGAGGCACCTTATTGGTTATGGAATTACATTACAATATGTCTGTAGGGATCGTGATTTTTTTTTAGATGTGTATATTGCTAGAATGTTTGTTTAAATTATTAATAATGCCGCTGAGCATTCCTCTCCATCACGCCGATCAAGCCACTCACTACCTGTACTCTTGTCGACAGCAGACCCGCTAATTGTAATTGCTTATGGCAGGTGTGGATGAAGAAATAAAATTTAAAAATAAAGTATTAAGTATTAATTATAAGATAGTTTTAGAAATATGACGGTTGTGTAGAGTCTGATAAACTTCTGCTATAACTGCATTAACGTTTGCGATGAGCCATCGGTACCTACATAACTGCTACCAGACTGAGGTGGAAGTAAGTATAACAGATAGTTTCCAGTTAGTCTAATGTTCAAAGTATTTAAGTTATATGAACACAATGGTATTTGTTTATTTTCTAATGCAATTTTAAAACATTAATATTCATGCTTGTCGTCCATAAATTAAGAATATGTTAATTTTACTGGGAGTAATATTTATTTTATAATTTAAACAGTACCATATGTATCATACGCTTTCCTAAATAAATTTATAATCCTGATTCTGATAAATTTTTTATGTAAAAACTGCAATTATTAAAACCTCTCTTCCTTTATTGCTGGGACTACACTGCCATCGAAGTACATCTTTCAACTAGCATAGCCAGGTGATATCCAAAGTTCAAAGTTATGAAATTATTATAGAATAATAAAATTTATTTATATCTATCACGATAGGATATTTGTTAAATATTTACCCCTATGCTTGTACATATATACATTACAAAATAGTTTAATTAAACATTCAGTGTTATTAATTTTTATCCATATTTAAGTGCCTTGTTTTTATATCTAAATGAAATTTTCTTGTTTTAGTTAGAACTATATTAAAAATAATTATGGTTATTCATAGGTGAATAAACTTCTGTTTTAAATTTTGGGTTGTCCAGAAAATTTTGCAAGATTTTGAGTTTTCGTTAAAATACATAACAAACTGTTTATGTTAACTGGATTATTCATTTGTATGAATGTCAACACTTATTAATCCAATTCCAAACTATAATGTTTGTTTAACTCTGTAGCATTTGGCTGCTTAGAAATAATTCAGTATTTACTAAGATATCACCGCGTTATTTTCGTATAATTTTGTTTTATGAGTTTAAACTCTGCCAGAATGGGGCCTAGACGGCCAGAACCATCAGTCAAGTATTGGGCGAGAGGAGCATTAATGTGAATGCACTGTTCAACGATGGTTCACAAATTTCGAGAAGGAGAGTTCAGCCTTGAAGAAAAAGAAGATCGTGGAAGGACTTCTTCTCTTGATGACGATGTTCTGCGGGCTTTGGCGGAAGAAAACCCCAGAACAACTGTTCAAGAACTTGCAGGGAAACTTGACCTTATCAAATCGACCGTAGATGACCACCTCAAGGCCATTGGAAAGGTGAAAAAGCTTGAAAGTTGGGTTCCACACCATGAAGTTTGTGATACAATTCTTTGCCGAAACAAAAACGACACTTTTCTGTCCAGAATTATTAGTTGTGATGAAAAATGGATACTTTACGATAACAATAGATGTTCTGGGCAGTGGCTAGGCAAAGGAGAAGCAGCAGAACATTTTCCAACACCCCCAACTCATCAAAAATGGTGATGCCTCTTGGAGCTTGGATATGAAACTCTGCCACATCCGCCCTACTCTCCGGATCTCTCGCCTACGGATTATCATTTTTTTAGACACCTGGACCACTGCTGTTTGGTGGGCTTCATTTAGTTTCATAAATAACAGCTTCTTAAATCCTAAAGAAACCATTAATGCCGAATCGCATTGCAACCGAATTAATGCAATGCATCAGAAATTGGCTATAATGAAGCCATCTTTGTCAATTGGAAGGGGCCCATTTTGTTGTATCACAACACCCGGCCACATGTTTCACGTGTGACGTTACAAATACTGTTGGAGCTTGGATATGAAACTGCCATATCCGCCCTACTTTCCGGACCTTTCGCCTACGGATTATCATTTTTTGAGACACCTGAACCACTACTTAATAATAATAATAATAATAATAATAGTAATAAAAGGCTTAGCGAACCCGAAGGTTCGATGCTGACACCACAAATTGCTTATTACACACCTCCCTCCACCGTTCGCCGTCCAAACCCAGACCCTTCAGATCAGCTTTAATGCAATCTTCCCACCTTCGCTTCGGTCTACCCCTCGGACGTTGACCATTCGGTACAGCAAATATTAACCTTTTAGGAATTCTCTAGTTACTAAGCCCAACAATTTTACAAGCCCATTTGATTCGCCGCGATGAAATTACATCAATTATATTACCCGGATACAGTTCACGCAATTCGGCGTTGTCTAACCGTCTGAACTCTCCGGTTAACTCATCCTTCTTCGGTCCGAATATTCTATTTTCTATAAGTAAATAGAAGTAAGTATTCTATAACACTTTATTTTCAAAAACCTTAAGACGCTGCTCATCCCTTATTGTAAGCGGCCAAGTTTCGCATCCATATAGAACTATAGGTAAAATAATGGTCTTATAGATTCTAATTTTTAAGTTCCGGGACAAGAGTTGCGAGCTAACTAGTTTTGTCGCAGAAAAATAACAAGTATTTCCGTTCAGTCTAACCTTATTCTCTTCTTCAATTTCGTTTTTTCTAGTTATCGTAGAACCTAGATACCTAAACTTCTCTACCTGTTCAAACATATTACCATCTATATCGATATCACCAGTAGTATCACCATTTTTGCAGCTAACCATATATTTTGTTTTATCCGCGTTTATTTCGATTCCTAGTTCTTTACCGGCTTTCATTAACGTATTTAGTTTTATAGTTTTCACGTCTTCGCTTAACAGTACCAGATCATCAGCGTTGCCCAGCACGGATGTTGTTTCACCCAGATCCAACCCTTTTTTGGTACGTATTACCACTACTTACGAGATAAAAAATTTAATTAACAAGGGGGATTAGAAAATGCGGAATATCAATTCTAATGATGGGAAATTCAATTCCGAGGGAATGGAAATTTTGCCCAACACGTTAGCAGAAATGTATTGTAGTAGTGGAGACTATTTTGATTAAATAAAACAGTTGTGAATCTTACTATTTTTCTTTTCAAACCAAAATCCTGCATTATTTTACGGACAATCCTATATAATATAAACATTTCCGATGTGCATGGGTACAGAGTTAGGACGTATGGTGTAAGGTCGAAGTTTCCAAACACGTAGTTTCCATTTGGTCCTATATTTAAAGTAGTGGGACTATTCTAAAGTAAAGAAATTTATTTATTCTCTAACACAATTTGGCAATTTTCAAACATTTATATTAATGCTTGCATTTCATTAAATTAAAAATACATTAATCCAACAGGCTGTAATATTTATTTAATAATGTAAACAGAACCGTATTGACAAATTTCACTGTTTATCTTATACTTTCTTAAATTATTTGAAAATTTGCAAATGAAGATGCAGTTCAACGACTGATATATTGAAAAACAATAATAATTTTAGCGATGTGCACAGTTACAGAGCTGAGACCAGTATGAGTTCGAAAAACAAGATGTAGGGTTTAATGTTCAAAGTAGTGGGGTTTAATTAAAATAAAGAAAATTAAAGTAAAGTTGTTGGATTATATTAAAATTTAAATAGCACCTAATTCATAAATTTTAGAGAATTTTTTTTCATTATTTTCTTAAACAATTTGATAATCATGATTCAGTAATAGATTTGGCTAAGTTCCTTATTTTACTTAAAAATGTAATATCAATAGGGAACTTCATCATTGTAGAACTGAGAG